ATGCCGGGAGCCGGAATATGACGTCATCAACCCGGCTCCCAGCAACAGCAGACATCCCGCGCGGCGAGAGGGAGCAGAGAGCACACAGCTCCCTCTCCGCGTGTGACAGGAAGCTGTTCACCGGGGGGCAATCCATCAGGTTGCCCCCCCCCCATGACAGGGGAAACAAGGGGGGGCATTTGGGGGCGGCATTTTTTGCCGCCCCCTGAGTGCCTGCAGGGGGAACGGCGTTCCTGCTGTGAAAAAAGTGCAGGAACGCCGTTCCCACGCGTTCCTGCAGGACTCGAGCCCTGTTTTATATAAATAACTTTGATATTTAATTTAATATTTTATGAAACTCACTAAGATTACATGTGTCTGATCTAATTACAGTCAGTAGTACAATATCATTGTTCTAATTTACTTACTGCTAGCACTACAGGTACAGTGGGATAGTACCACTTTCCCTTTTAAAATTGGTGAACTTTAATCCTGCCATTGCAATAGACTAAAGACTGTACCTGGGTAAGTCATTATGTGCAGGAATTGTGCACTTTAAATAGTAGAATACTTATGCTATTCTAGTGAATTGGGCTGGCAGCTTAACACATAATTTAGTATCTTTTGGTCACATTTAAAGTTGTAAATGTATTTAACATTTTATTTAAATAAGCCTTTAATAATTTCAGTTTAAAAGTTATCAGAGATCCTATATATTTACAATTTTATTTTGCCCTGATTTATCTTACATATATATTATTTTTAATTATTTTATAAATATTTATTTTTGCAGAGCATTTAGAGAAGCAAAGGATGTATAACAACCTCTTGCCCTTCTGTTACATTTTTTTATATTAACAGATTTTGTAGGAGGGTAGTATAATTTCAACTCTGTTTAGATAAAAATATAAGCTAGTTAGCATATAGTATATAAAATATATGCTGCAGTGTACTGCATTGTACTGCAGTTTTTAAAAAAAAGCCATGTTTCTCTTTATGGCTGTATGTAAAAAAAGCTGTTTATAATTTGGAATAAAAAAAAAAAAAAAAAAGACTTCTCAATTCTTTGGAAGGGAAGCAATGTTTACATGTCTCTATCTCCGCAACCTTGGCTGGAAACTCCAGACACCAAAAATAGTTATGCTGTTATAATTCCTGATTTTCAATCAACAGCTAGTGTAACTGACAATATCGAAATTATCACTGTTTTATAAAACTTTTCTTATATAGTGGACTGTCTGTCTGTCGCTTCTGTGTCATGAATGTTTTCATTAAGCCATAATGCAATTTTCTTTGCATTCTTGGAATTAGACTTCGAAATCTATTAGTAATACAATAGCAAGTCTTTCATCGCTCTGTCTTATCACTTTTCTTTTGACAACATTTTGCATTAATCTTTTTCCTGCGCATGCATACTAAGCAGCTACAAAGAGAACATACCCCCCTGCCTGCAATCCACTGTCCTGGAACTAATGGACCATGCTATGGTGGTGTATTAGGCATATTAGGGAGTTTACAAATCATGTATATTTGTTCTCTTATGATATTAAGATCCACAATTTCAGCATTGTATGCTAATTACAATGTGCCTGGCACCTGAACTCAAAGTGCCTTGTACAAGTTCACATTAAAAACATCTCTTCATGATGAAGATCTCTCTCTGAGTCTGGGCTACACATAGCTCAATAGATTTTTGATATTTCAAGACTTGTGCCATGACAAAGTATTGTGTCTTCTCTTACCTATAAGAGGTAACCTAGGTATTTATCATTTTATAATTAAAGCTTCCAAGTACAATGTCCCTTCATGGTCGCCAATTGTAACCGTGACTGGTTCCCTTATTTACCACTATAACGTCTTAAAGCAGAGAACGTAGTAGGGCTAACCATACAGATATCTTAGCCATAATTTTATATAGTTAGTGTAAGAGATCCCCTATTTAACATATATAAATAATTGAGAATACAATTTAAAATAAGGATTGTCTTGGAAGCAATAAAGTTGTGTCTTTTTGGTATTTATTATATAAAAATATAAATATAGACATATAAAATCCATTATAGCAGAGTTTAGAAGATTAAACTAAATGCTTGCAAATATCATTAATAGGTTAACATACCCTTCTGAACATGTCATGTCAGCCTGTCATTTTAAGATGGAGCAGCGTCTGTCTCCAAGTCTCTCCTCTGTGTCTTAACATTTAAAAGTACACCTTAGGTGTCTCCATTTTCAGGTTACCGTAGTTCATATATGAAAAAGTAACTTTTTCACGTTATTCATTTTAGGATCTCCCTTAATTTGGCAAAAATACAAGGCCATAACTAAAGGGTGTACACGTCATGGAAATTTTCCTGACTTAGGTCAAGATGGCATCTTAAAGTCTGAACATCCTTATCTACATCGGGTTACCACAGTATATTACGTACTGAAAGAGTCGTAGCATTGCTTTGAAGCTTGTTTATGCATTATTGTTATTGTAATTTGTCTTGGACAAAATGGCGCAAACATTATGCACTGTAGGTAGGTAAGAGGTTATTGCTTAAAGAAACAGTTATGAAAAACAATATGTTCCATTTCTAACACCTTGTCAGTGTGCAATATCTCTTAAAGGGACACTATAGTCACCTGAACAACTACAGCTTAGTGTAGTTGTTCAGGTGAGATCTATAGCTCCCTGCAGGCAATCTAATGTAAACACTGTATTTTCAGCGAAAATACAGTGTTTACATTGATTGATAGGAATACCTCCAGTGGCCGTCACTCAGACGGCCACCAGAGGGACTTCTATCATATAGGGCCCTAAAAATGCCGTGTACACGTCAGACGTATTAAAATACATCTGACGTGTGCAGGAGAGAGAAGGCACTGTGTGCGCGCCTTCTCTCTCCTGCCTGTCAGCAGAGGAGAGGTGGCGGGCAAAGAGTGAGCTGAGCTGTCAGCCAGCTCAGCGCCGCGCACTTGCGTGGTAGTGCGCCCAGGACTTCAGAGGGCTTCGCCGCACATGCGCACAAGGGAGCAATGACGCCTCCAAATGGAAGCGTTTGATTGCTCCCTGCTCGCGCCCGCCTATTTCATCATTTTGACGAAATAGGGGGCGCGGCTTCACAAGGCTCCCGGCGCTGGAACCAGGTGAGTAAAATCCTCTGCCCGGAGAGTCCCTTTAAAGACAAAAGTACACAGTTTAAGAAATACATTTCATTCTAAAACTTGTAATATTTGCATTTGCCCATAATAAATCTATAGGGCATTGCCAAGAGAAAAATGAGAGACATGAGGCCGAACAATGCAGAAGAGCTGAAGGCCACTATTGAAGCATCCTGGTCTTCCATAACACCTCAGCAGTGCCACAGGCTGATAGCTTCCATGCCACGCCGCATTGAGGCAGTAATTTCTGCAAAAGGGGCCCAAACCAAGTACTGAATCCATATGCATGCTTATACTTTTCAGAGGTCCGATATTGTTCTATGTACACTCCTTGTTTTATTGATTGCATGTAATATTCTAATTTACTGAGATTGTGGATTTGGGGTTTTCATGAGCTGTAAACCATAATCATCGCACTTATGACAAATCACAGCTTGAACTATCTTGCTTTGCATGTAATCTCATATTAGTGTCCCCTTTTACGTTGCATTACTGAAATAAATACATTTTTGCACGATATTCTAATTTTTTTAGTATCACCTGGATATATGTATATGTAACATCAAATTAAAGCCCCTTTTGTCCTTTAAAAAACGGTATATGTGTTGGTACAATAAATTAGTAAAATGCAAATTGCAGTTGAACGCATATAGCAAAAAATTGCATGTAGTTGTATTCATGAGGGAGCGGCAAAATAGATCCTTGCACTGGCCCTGGTTACAGATAGTGTGTAGGATTTAGGTTAGGTGTATGGTTAATTAGTGTAAGTATAGGGTTAGGGGCAGGGTTGATAAAGCTTTGGTCTATCACAAATGTATTTAGATCCTAGACACATGAGGTACTGAACAATCAGGACTGATATGTAAATCTATTTTGAGTTATTTTCAGTTGAACTTGTTGTGTAAAAAATATTTAATGTGTTTTTTTTCCTGCAGGTTCAAATCCTGGCAGGGTTGAATCAGCTCTTCATCCTTCTGAGATAGATAAAATGAATACCATTAAATTGGGTAATAGTAACAACTCCTGGATGTTGGGCTAAGGTAACATGCCCAGGACGTACTTGAAAACCAGATTAATCTGAATGTACCTTTCCTGGTTAAATACTTTGTCATTATTTTAATTTTATTCACTCAATGCTGTGCTAGATATACATATATGGGGACACTTGAGTAACTTATCCAAATCTGTCTCCTGCTCTCCTAAAGAGCGACACTCCACTCTCACCTCCAGGTCTGATACTTTTCACCTTGTTTGGTGGCTGTCACCCTTACTGCCCTGTTGGTTTTTTGGACCCCACTTCCTATAGACTGTAAGCTCGTTTGAGCAAGGTCCTCATCTACTTATTGTTCCCGTGTCACTGTGTAATTGTCTCATTTATTGTAAAATTCCCACCTCTTTCATAATATTGTAAAGCGCTGTGGTATTAGTTGGCGCTATATAAATAATAATAACCATTCTCCCCCACTGACTATTTAGGTCATATGATGACATCTAAATAATACTTCTATTTTTTTTATATAGCAATTTAGCCATAATGAATATGAGACGTCTTCTCCTGTGCCTATATTTCATCCCATTTTAGGGTGTGTTTAAGTAGCCCAGTATGTTCGACATTCCTAATAATCTCAATTGAAAAAAAAAAAAAAAAAAGAAAAGAAGAAAGTGTTCAGAAGATTGACAATTCCCTTCATCTTACGTGTACTGTTCTATTTACTTTACTGCCTACAATACTACAATGCCTTACATATATATATATACACAATAACACAGCTTAATTTACATTGGAATACATGAAGTAAAATCATTGTGCCAAAACAAATTTAGTTTTTCCATACATAAAACATTTTGTTCATAAGATTATTTGCCAATAAAACCCATTTGTTAACTGAAATGTTTACTTTATTGAATCCGACTATTTCCCCTGTAATGAAGAAAAAAAAAGCCAGCACAAGGTTTTATATGTGCCATATATACAACGGTTTTTAATTTTACTGGAAATAAATTACAGGAAACAGCTTTATTTTTTTTCTTTAAACAGGACAAAGATTCACAACAAAAAAAATGCTCATTTTCTCACCTAACACGGTGAGACAGCAGTGGTTCAAGGCAGTAAATATCACAAATATATCAAAATGTCAGATTGGTTTATGCATTCACACATTTACATGAGCCACAGACATTCCCTGTGCAGGGACTTCACTTAGCCTACAACAGAACCAGTATTTGGCATGGACTACAAAAACTTGTTACAAAATTGGTATTTATATTATTTATATGTCATATACATGCCCTATCAGATTTTGTATAGAAAATAGCTAATGCTGTACAGATGATTGGAGCTTCTATAGCTGTAGGCTCGGCTTCTTGATGGACTGAAACCCTAAAACATCCCTCCCATCCCCCCCAATAAAATTAATGGCATGTTGTATATACATGAAGGCTAAACAGGAAAACACTCAGGCCCTCCCCCTGATATGTACCTATAGTAGGACAGGTTTGTGGATTAAAAAAAGGCAATGTTTTCAGGAAAACATCTCTAAATACATGCCATTTATGTACATACAGTATGAAGGAAAGAAACAAAAAAGGCAGTGAATTAACTGGTAGATTTCTTAGTAACCCAGCTACAGTATACTTGATAGTCCTCGATCATATGTCATTCTTGAAAGCGTACAATTATAAATAGTAAATAAAATTACAGAGAAAAAAAAAAAACTACATTCATTTAGTTAAAAGTAGATCATGTCACTTAGCAGGAAAAAAAAAAAAAAAAAAAAAAAAAAAAAAAAAAAAAAAAGAAAAGAAAAATAAACATGGCACAATGTCTGCAATAATTTAACCTCTCCGTGCTAGAGGGAAGATGATGCTTCTGGCACAAAAAGGCCAAGAACCTTTCACGACAGTCTTACAGCAAGCTGTAGGTAGCTTAACCTGGGGGGAATAAAATACCAGTGGCAGCACTTCAATAAGCCTGGTTATATTACATCTATGGTGGTAATTGTAAACTTTGGTTTGTGGTTTTACCGAGTTCTCATTGTTCAAACAAGCAATGGGGAAAGAAAGGCTGCAGCTGGAGAGATGGACTGTCAGTCTGTCTTTAGCCGTGCCGCTTGAGTCACTTGCTCTGTAAGACCTGCCTTGATGGAGTTTGTCACAGTTTGTCTTATGTTATCCTCCATCAAAGTGTCGCTCATTGGCTTCAACAGCTGGAAAATGGAAATATGGAAGAGAAACAAATGAAGAAAATGTCATGAATGGAGTTTTATACCTGAAGGTAAATAAATGCACATGGTAAAGTGAAACAAATAAATGAATGAATGAATGTCAAAACCACACAGATGATACAATTAGATAGTGACAAATTGTGCTGCTACAAAACCTTGACATTTCCACCTCTCAAGAAAGGTGCCATTTTGTATTTTTTATTCCAGTGTTGGTGAGATAGATTTGGACAGATGTGCAATAGCATGCCCTATAGGAACCAGGTACTTGTAGGTTTTGTCTCTTATTAAATATGTAAAGATTTTTCAGAGAAACAAAGAGGTTGAAATACTGCTTAGTTTTTCTTCTTGTTATTGTTTGCCAACATTCTGTGTCTCTGCGTTGAAGTGACAGCCCGGCGAGGCAGCCGACGTTTACATACTTCATATAGTTTGGATATTACCTGGAACATGGAGTGGTTGGTTAGCTACAAAGTTCCATATAAAGACGTTTAGAGTAAGCGTGTGTATATATTTCAGAAAACCTCACCTTCCTTGGATTCCTCTGTGCAGCAAAACAGAGAAAGAGCAGAAAGAAAGATATGAGGTAAAGGTGGAAGAGAGAAAATCCAACAACGGGTAAATAACTTTCCAATATGGGATATGAACAAAAGCCAAGTCCATGGGCTTCTGTTTACAACGCTTTGATTTTTAGTTATCAAATTGCTAAACTCTTGATGAACGCTACAATAGTCATGTCATTATACAACTTAGAGTTCATCAAGTATGGATTTAAAAAAATAAATAAATAAAATAAAATTTCTGGAGACCTAGGTATCTAGACAAACATGGTAGCATCAAGTATCTGTCAAGCTCAGAAGCCGAACCATTAATTGGACAACTTAGAACAGGTTCATACAAGTAGTATAAGAACATATGTTAAGCAAAAGTGTAAGAAAGTGTGAAATAGCTTCAGCAATCTACTACAACAGGGTTATTAGAAATTGTGGGCTTTAATCAAGTTTGTCTGTGGAAGTATTGTAACTGAAAAAAGAGCAAGTGACGTGTCATGGGTACGTTAACTGGGTCTACTGGAACAAAGCAATTTATAACTGATGTCTCCTTATATCAGGAGTGCATTAATATAGTATACAGTGCTAATATAGTGGGTTAGGTTCAAGACGATCTCTGTAAAACCACAGAGTGGAACCCTTTTCCTTACAATTGCAGTTTCAAAACAAAATAACATACTTAGAGATCCAATACATACTTGAAAAGGATAGAAATCTCAATGTATCCTTTCTGGTAAAATATTTTTATAAATAAATACAACAGACCTGCCCTTTCAGCAGGGTAATAAACTTAGGCCCGCTGCTTATGTTGGTCACAGGAAGGTCAATTTCCCCCAAGCTGCTCTAAATTTGGGCTAACCAGCTGTTGCCCCACTGCATCGACCTCATGGTGCACTGTGTGGGGTTGTTTGCAGGCATGTGCCACAAATGGGTCACTGATTGAGAGAAAACTGTAAACCAGTGAGTCTGTATGTGTTAACATGTGCCAAGGCATGACTGCTAGTGTGTTTATGTAAGTGAGAATGTGCCCATGGTTTCGCAAATGTTATACATTACAGGAACCCAATTTGCAAAAACATACTGAACTAACGAAGCATGAGAATGAAAAGCACTTGTACAAGTGGATTTAAAGAGGCACTGGTCAAGAGTATCTAGAAGTGTCAATCCCCCAGCCATCACAAGTAATGGCTGGAGGGAATTGGCTCCATCTATGGAGGATCCTGGGGTCTCCTACATAGATCTCGCAAGAGTACAGCAGTGACATCGGCTCTTGGCGCTTTAAAGAGAGTCGGCCGCAAAAAGATGCTGGCATCTGCAAGGAGCAAATTCAAGTAAGTTAAAGTCACGTTTGCAAGTTATTCAAATTCCCCAGACGGTGAATGTGCAGCTTTAATGGATTGCATGTACTAAAATACCTACCTACGCACACCTATTTGTACATTGTTTAACTCAAAGGGAGAATTACTGAAACCGGTCCATTTTCTGGATTGTGTGTATATTACATTATATTATTACTCTGGCACAAAAGGTGAAAAAAATAAAATACTCTTTGCCCATAAGGCAATAATCTAACAAAAACATTTAAATCTATTACAGCTTAATTTATTAATGGGTCACCAATTGCTATGTCACCACCCATGTTAAAAAATAAATCAAATCAATGGGTATTGGATAACTGGTGAGATTAATGAAAGTCTGACATTCTGGGATATTGCTCACAACATCCACTTCACAAGACGGAGATCAGAAAGAAGCATCTAGCAGCACAGTCAAGACATGAATTCCGGGGAAGTGCTATTGTGATTCTAGTTGTGTGTAACAGAATAAAATGTATCCTTCAGTTTAAAATGCAGAGACTGTGGGTCCTCCATTACATATCAATATAAAGCATGCAAACTCCACAAATGCATTTAAATGGTTTGCACCGGGGTATCTGTGCCATCAGCTGTTAAGACACATTTAAAGATATTGATACAAAAGGCACATATAGTTTTGTTTTAACCTTAAAATGTTCTGCTGATATTATTCAGACTACATATAATACAGATTACAAATCTTATAGACGTGCTTTTTCTCCCTAACTTTCTATTGCAGCTTCCGGTGTGCCCAGTACGAAAGAAAAAACAAAAATTAAAAATTATATATATATTTATATTACTACCACAACATACGCAGACTAAGTACTTCTTGAAATCGTACAGCTACATAAAGAATTTCATTTTCAGTTTGCTGTAGAGACAGTGAACTCAATATATGCTTTTATGTGGTGAGACTTCAAGGAATTAGAAATAAAATAGATGATTATAAAGGGTTACCACCATGTAGCACTCAATCGACGTGGAGTAAAGAACTAAACATTGAACTATATGGATGCACATTTGCAAATGAATGTTGGAACAAAGCATAAAACCTGTATTTTTAGGTGTAGAAAGAAATGTACTTCACAAATTTGAATAAATAAAAAGAAAGGTTAAAACTACTAACCTGTTCCCATATTATCTCAGCAATCTGATCTATTAAGCTTCCCAGTTCTCGGAACTCCCCGGAGTACTTCACATATGCCCAGGTGCAGAAAGACAGTAATGCTAATCCCATGATTAAATTGCAAATGGTTGCTATAGAGTTCAGACCAATGAAACCGGTCAGCCCTGAGATAATGTACATAGCAAACATAACGGCAAACAAAGTAGCCGGGGTTCGAGCAGCATAGAAGATGTTTTTGCCGTCGTTGTGCTTCATGAAGTTTGCATAGGTTTCTTCAATCTCGGCCTCAAGCTGCTCCTGATAGCGATGGCAAAACTCATCCCCTCCCATCTTTTTTATTGAACGGAATTGCTTTATGCAGACGTCTTTCATATCCAAATGTTTCCTTTCGAGGTCTGCTGGTGCAATATATGGCTTATCACCTCCACAAACCTAAAACAAAATAAGCACATCTTAGCAGACACATTCTTTTAAAAACATTGTTTGTCTTGAATAGAGCATTGCAAATATCACCAATAACTGTACATGCTTTTCCAAACTTGGAAAAACAAAACAAAAAAACATTTTTTTTTTTAAATCCCATTACATTTGGATGTTTGCAGTAGCATTCAATAAGTTATCTGTGTTTGTCCACAATAGGACAGTTTTGTATCAAAGACAGATTTAAAATGCTAATATTTCTAGAATTCATGCCAAACCATGCAATGACAACCAACTTCTTGCATATGACCTATTAAGCACTCATAGTAACCGTGCCAGGTCACCGCACATTCTCTCCTTCTGTGCTGCCATTTAAGAGATCCAGGGAAGGAATAACATGCTTACTTGTCTAAATATCACACTGCTTAGTTGAGCAGTGTCATCGCAACATGTATGCAGTGCTGGGTAAAGCGGTGCAATCTTTGGTCACATAGAAGGGTGCTCTTCAAGGAGGGTCACTTATATGGTAGCGTACAGGGATAGAAACAGGGGTGCATTACAGTTTCTTTATGGAAATTCAAAACTCAAATTCACACTCTTGGACTTGACTCATTTAATCAAGGTTATAGTGGGCATAATTGTAGTCAATCTTATACTGTCTCAGAAGGGTATAATGTTGAATTGGCCGTTTCTGAAACTGAGCCTGCTACCTTCAAGCTTAAACAGGTACTGCATTTGAAGTGGTTATCGACCGTTTTTATCCAATTTAGTTGTTGCCTTTGTAATAATAAAAACCAAAGTATATTTGCCACTTTATTTTTTTAAACTTTACGTCTTCTAAAATATGGATCTCATCTAAAGTGTTATTATAAAGATCTCCTTTAGGCAATATATGGATGAAATACTAGTTTTACCAGAATATTGCTTTCTTTGCTACATATTCGACCACTAAATTTGTATGTGCACATATCTGCTCCGGGTGAGACATGATACTTCCTTCCACGTGCTATGCATTGTGGGATGCAACATTTAGTTGTGTAGTAAAAATATCAATGCACACATGCAACAACTGCAGTAGTAATATTTGTAACATACACTTGTATGACAAAGGCATACAGGCGTTGGTTAAAAAGTGACTCTGGGAATAAAATATCATCATACATTTCTTCCAATTTGCCAAGTATAATAAGTACTTCCAATCTGAGAGCCCAAACGAGGTCACTGTCATTTTATGATAAACGGTTTGCTGAACACAATGTTATGCTAGGCCAATTCCTGCTTGTGTTCTTTTTAAACAGTTAAAAAGGGTTTAGCTATCCGCTTGTTTTGTAGTGGTACAGCCATGGATTCAGCTCAATGGATTAGCAGTTCACTTCAGTATTCAGGCCATTGTCTAGTAAGTTACATGAACCAGATTGAAACAAGACTAGCATTTCATTTTGTATAAAAAAAATCCCACAAAATGTATACGCCAATTGGTGCCTAGATAAACAAGAGTTCTTTTTCAATTATGTTACTTTCCCACCTTGCTCATTTATTGTCCCCCTTAATGCCCTCCCTATTGTGTCCTTATACGATACTCCTCTACACTGTAAGCAGGGTCCTCATTGTCCCCCTTCTTTAATATTGTAAAGCGCTGTGCAATAAGTTGCCACTATATAAATACAAATAATATGTAAACCGACAGCATGAAAACTATGCAATGTCCATCCAAAACCAAATCATTTTTTTTTTTTTATTAACAATTTAAATACTTCAATTAACACCTTGTTCTCCCTGTTCAGGTCTTCATAGAGAAGCAGATTATGATTTAGTGTACAAGATTGCAATCAGGTGGTACCAGACCCACCCCACTCCTCCAGATACTCTTCTGATCAGCTGACGCAGAAATATGTAAATGTGAAGTGTATATGTGCTCCTTTGGCAAAAGTTAGAAGTACTGGTCTAAACTCACCTGCTCCATGCTTTTGCTGTAAGTGTCTTTTGCACCGGCTACAGCGGCCAAATTATTTGCTTCTGCTGTTGCCTACAAATATCAATGAATACAAAGTTAGTCATTGCAAACAACCCCTCACACCCCATTTTCTAGTTATATAAATTGTATTTACCTGTAGCATAGATTTAGGATGGGGCAGTTCTTCTCCCTGATAGATTTTGATGTAAGCCTAATAAATAAGAAGCACATATATTAGATTACACACAGTTAAAAATGGTAATGCAAAGACACATTCAGTGTCCAACTATTTAAACATACAGCTTAATGTAGTGGTTCTCATACAAAGTCTTTCTACACTGTCTACTTAGTGGCAAACCATAAAAGAGGTTAGGCTAAACACAGGATATGCCTGGAAGCTAAACTTGAACTCGCTCATTTTCAATTACAGCAATGTACAGGTTGTGGGCACTGAGCAAACCTGCCCACAGATTTTTTTCCCCCCCATTTCACATCAGCCAAGTCACATCAGCAGGGCCAATATTTAGGACAACAGGTTTGTAGATTTAGTCAAAGTTTTGACACTAGCAAGGGACATACAACTACTACTGCTTTTGTACTTTTTATAGTGCAATGTATGCTGCATTTACTAGTGCTAAAAATTAATTGAAGAATTCAAAGAAAAAAAAAAAAAACTACTCCCCTCATCTCCAATTTTTTTATTTTTATTGATATTTTCAAATTACAAGTTTCACTTCAGGCACATACATGTCATCTTTTTCATGTGCTGTTGAAGTTGTCAGCAATTGACGTGATAAAATTACATTCTTATCTGAAACCTTTTTTTCTACCATCTTAGAATGTGACGGCAGATAAGAACCATTCGGCCCATCTAGTCTGCCCAATATTTCAAAATACTTTTAATTAGTCGCTGGCCTTATCTTATAGTTAGGATAACCTTATGCCTATCCCACGCATGCTTAAACTCCTTTACTGTGTTAACCTCTACCACTTCCGCTGGAAGGCTATTCCATGCATCCACTACCCTCACAGTAAAGTAATACTTCCGGATATTATTTTTAAACCTTTGCCCCTCTAATTTAAGACTATGTCCTCTTGTTGTGGTATTTTTTCTTCTTTTAAATATAGGCTCCTCCTTTACTGTGTTGATTCCCTTTATGTATTTTAATGTTTCTATCATATCCCCCCATCTCGTCTTTCCTCCAAGCTATACATGTTAAGAGCCTTTAACCTTTCCTTGTAAGTTTTATCCCGCAATCCATGAACCAGTTTAGTATCCCTTCTCTGAACTCTCTCTAAGGTATCAATATCCTTCTGGAGATATGGTCTCCAGTACTGCGTACAATACTCCAAGTGAGGTCTCACCGGTGTTCTGTACAATGGCATGAGCACTTCCCTCTTTCTACTGCTAATACCTCTCCCTATACAACCAAGCATTCTGCTAGCATTCTCTGCTGCTCTATTACATTGTCTGCCTACCTTTAAAGTCATCAGAAATACTTACTCCTAAATCACTTTCCTCAGATAAGGTTAGTAGGGTATCAAATATCCTAGACTCTGCCCTTGGGTTTTTACGTTCCATTCATCTTTATGAATTCACAGAAGGAAAGGGGGATATAAACATAATTTCTGCATGACGTGTGCACGGTAATGTATAGTTTCAGTGCACTCTATTACATGTGAAATACAGAACATTGGTACATTAATAGAAAAACAAACTTTACCTTAAAATATTCCAGTAGATCTCGACAAGTCACCTTGGTGCCACTTATTTCTTTTTGTACTAGGTTTTTAGGAGCAAGCAATAAAGGTACCAGATTTTGTAGTTCCTTTTTGAACTCATCATCTATGTCTAAAAACGATAAAAAAAACATAAATAAAAGCAAAATCACAAAAAAAACCTGCAGCTGTAATCCCACATTTGCAATACATCAACAGCAAATGGCCCGTTCAATAACTAATCACTAAATATTAAATACATTATTACAAGGTTTCAGTGCAATTTATTCAAATACAATACATAAAACGGTTTACAATAAACTATAACACAATTTTAAAACGTTTTCTCTCACACAAAAAAACAAATATTTAATATATTGACAAAATGCAATAAATCTCATCAGATTGTGACATGTTCTATTAAAAAGCATTTCACATGGAAAATAGGTATCTATATATATTTTTTTTAATTTAGCAAACTGCTGAGGCCACTACCAAGCACTGGACCCACCAAATTCTAATTATCCCAGAGAAGATATCTTCTTATATGGATAAATTGAATAACCATTTAGTTACGAGAGTGACCATATACAAATTCAAATTAGAGCCCATGTGGAGATGTGAAAAGGCTATGAGTTACAAGATTGCCATGTTATAGAAAATATAGGATTCCAACACCACATATGACTGCTAATAGCAGCTATCCCCTGAACACTTGTAAAAACTCACTGTATTTACAGCCTAGAAATAACCTATTTGGGATAGGTTACATACAATTCTCAGTCTTCATTTTAACCGCTTAATGACGGACCCGGTCGATCGTACGCTAAAATGAACCTGCGATCATGGGGTTAATGATGTTGCTGGGTGTCTACGAGTCAGTGGCAGACCAATAACATCACATCGCAATGTTCAGCCCACGTGATCACTGAGACAGCCAGTTACAGCAGTCACAATGCTGCTGGGATTTCAGTTCCTCCTCCCTTCACCTCTGTTGGGTTTGTGAAGTGGAGAGAGACCATCCTTGTTACTTTGTGTCTCTGAAGAGAATAAATTGTGTCAGAAAAGGTTCCAAATCCCCTTTACCCTGTGCTTTAAATTTTTTTTTTAACCCTTTCCCTGATGATTGATTACTGCCAGCAGTGATCAAAATACAGATCACAGTACTTTACTGTGATCTAGTTTTTGTTTTTAGTAACCCTAAGGGGTTACATTTTAATATTTTATCAATTTGTGATTTAGTTCGTTGGGGTTGGTGGAATTTAGTGAGAATTGGGGAATTTACTGATAAGTTAGCTAGGTGTGAAAAGCGGAGGGGAAAAAAAAGTAAAAAAATTAAAGTTTAGTTATTTAGTAAAATGTATTACTGTAGTACACAATAATACATGGAAGTATAGCATAGAGAAGGCTTATGCTCAGTTAGCAGCCAACTCAGAGGCGACAGACACTGCCACAGAGAGTGACGCAGGGAACAGGGACTATGTGCCAGATACTGCAGGACCATCAGGAGAAATCGCGGATTCCCGATTCTGAACATGGTGCAGATGACTGGGTACCCCCTAATAATTTTTCACCAGACATCCCAGAGTTCACTGCCAATCCTGGCATACAGGGTGACCTATCTGGTTATAATACGCTGGATTGTATTCAGCTGATCTTGGGGGATGATATTTTTGGGGAGATAGTCACCCAGACGAATCTGTACGCTGAGCAGTCTCAGGCACACAATAAAGAGTCTCTTATCGCCAGGAAAGAGAGATGGAACCCAACCAGTGTGCCAGAATTGAAACAATTCTGAGCACAGACAATGCTAATGGGGATAATTAAAAAGCCAACCATTAGAATGTATTGGTCTAAAAACCCCATTTGCAATACCCCCATTTTTTCACATACAATGAGTAGGGACAGATACGAACACATACTGCGATTTATGCACTTTAGTGACAATACGAAGTGCCCCCCAAAAGGTCATCTGCAGTATGATCTTCTATATAAAATATGCCCTCTAATTGCCCAATTTAACTAAATATTTGCCACTATTTATACACGAAAAAACATTTCTATTGACAAATCCCTCGTGTAGTTTAAAAGGAAGATTAGGGTTTAAACAGTACATACAATCCAAAAGATCCCGATATGGGATCAAGTTTTATAAATTGTGTAAAAATGTGGCAATGGCTATGTTTACACCTTTCGTGTATACGAAGGAAGGGATAGCCACCTTGATCCCCCAGGTTGCCCAGATATAGTAGGGACAGGTGGGAAAATTGTCTGGGACCTAATTATACCGTTACTAAACAGGGGATATCACTTGTATATTGATAATTTTTATTATAATATCCCACTTCTAAAAATGCTGTACCGCTTTGAGGCTGTGGCACTATTCGGAAGAGTCGCACAAGTTTCCCAAAGGCTCTAGTAGGAGAAAAAAAAAAAGGGGGGGGAAACAGCAGCTCTCTGCCAGAATGAACTGCTGGCACTAAAGTACCGTGATTAAAGGAGGTGTTCATCCTAACCACCATCCATGGTGAACGCACTCGCAAGGTCGCAGTTCGTGGCAGAGGAGAAATTAATACTGTGCCAGTCTGCATAACAAATTACAATTGGCATATGGGGGGAGCTGACCTGTCCGATCAACTGATGAGAGAGAGAGAAATTTTTTATATATATATATATAAATAAATAAATAAATAAATCTCTCTCTCTCTCTATCAGACGGAAATCCGAAATGCCTTTGTAATTTTTAAAAAGGCAAATGCTGAGCTGAAATTCACGTCTCTATAATTTCAGTTTCAGCTCATTTCTGGGTCGCTTGAGTGCTATAGAGGGGGACCATCAGTGGAGCCTAGCAGAAGAATGGAGGTAGGTCACTTCTGCTTCAGGATTCCATCAACCCCCAGAAAGAAAACTCCCCAGAAAAGGTGCAGGGTGTGTTACAAAAAGGGCGTAATGGCAGAGACCAGTTATTACTGCCCTGCTAGCCCATCTCAGCCCGGCCAATGTATTGGCCACGGTTTTAAAATTTTCCACACCCAGGCCGAATAAGTAGACCGGTTTTGGGGTGTGATTTTAGTCATCTGTTTGGTTACCGAATCTTGGCTTTGTCTCCCATTTATCCTATCTTCTCTGATCCTTGACCTCTGCTGTCCCATCGTTGCTGTCCTATCGTTGTTCCGTTTTTTTCTTTACTCCTTTGACCACGGCTTGTAACTTGACTATTCTCTGCTTGTATAGCCTGGCCATTCCAAGGACCGGTATTACAAGTTTCTCTCTCTGTGTTTTCTCTCTTTGTGGTCTGTCTGTGTGTTTTGGTTCTGAAATCCGTGACAGTGTTGCCTGTGACTCAGATGACTGGGTACTACCCCCTGATAAGTTTACGCCAAATATTCCCTCTTTCAAATAGTATGTACTTGTTCATAATTTGAATTGATGAGCTGCTTATATTTAAAAATAGATGTGGCCTTTGAGAGGTAATTTGCAATCATGAGACTTTGGCCAAGCACCCGCTTTTGAAAAATATGAAATTGGTGTGTCTCAAATGTGCCCCTTCAACAGCCACATATCCCTGAAAAAGGTACACATGGGGGTATTGTTGTACTAAGATGACACAGCTGAGCAACAAATTTGGTGTTATACTGCTGTAGCACACATGGATTGCAAAATATACAGTAACATCTCCAAGTGTGTGTCAAAAAGGCAGAAAAAATGCTAATTACTACTAGACTTGGTACAAACTAGCAAAAAAAATAAAATAAAATAAATTGATCCTACACTAAGGTTTAAAATATGTTTTTGAAATACCCTGGGGTGTCAACTTTTACAAATGGTAGGCATTTTTTTTTGTTTTGTTTTTTTAAACAGTCAAACTGCTATAATACCCCAAATAAAAACATAGGCCCATCAAATCCGGCTCTCAAAATTCTACTGTAAATACTGAAATGGACAGGTCTCCTATATGGCACTGTAGCTTCACGAAATAGTGCCAAAGACATACAATGGGGGTGTCATTTTACTCAGCAGATGTAGCTGAACATAAAATAATGTTTTGTACAGGAATAGCACACATGAGAAGATCTGGGTTATAAGTTTGTATGTCAAAACCAAAAAAAACCCACAATTTTAAAGAGATTGGCGGTGAAATGGCTACATAAAAAGTGTCAAAAAAACCTTGGGTAAATAGCCTATGAGGTCTACTTCACATAAATATATACTTTTGTGTGGCAATTTTGTTTTCTTTTATGGCTATTAAGCTTACAAGACAAACATACCAAATTCTAAAATCGCTCCACATTAAAATGTTAATTTTACTCCTTGTGCTTTGTGACCTGTAACTACCAAATTTTATCTTAAAAATCCTAGACACATATTCTGTAAATCACAACAACTAATTTAATTTTAATTACTTTCCTTAACCTGCACTAATTATGCACACATTATGGCAAAAACTGTAAAAAAACAAAAAACAATATTTTCCCTTTTTTTTGCATCTTTAAAAATAAAATAAAAAAATAAGCATTTATATATGAATATGTTGCAACAAATGAAAGCTTTTTGTCCTTTAAAAAAACGGTATATAATATGTGTGGGTACAATAAATTAGTAAAATGCAAATTACAGTTGAACGCAAATAGCAAAAAATGCTTGTGTCCCAAATTTTCCTGGCACTAAAGGGTTATTAGGTTCCCCCCGCACTAAAGGGGTTAAAACCCCTTCAGCCACTTACTACTATGTTTTCAGCTGCAGAATTAAAACTAGGGGGACCTAGCACCCAGACCACTTCATTGGGCTGAAATGGTCTGGGTGCCTAGAGTGGTCCTTTAAGCGCAAGACACTCTTTTGAAGCTGGGTCCTTAAGGGGTTAAAGAATGAGCTCTCAATCACTGTCAGCGATTCACCATTGATCAATTTAACATTATAACAAATTCATACAATGGTTATTACAATCAAACATCTATGAAACTGTCCTAAGCTATAAAAAAAATCATATGAAAGCAAGACAGGTTTGGTTGGGATATACAGGTTTATTGTGAAGAAATCAAAGTGTGCTGTACCTTACAAACACATGTGAAGCATGTATTATTTAGGGCTCACTTACCAACTAGTCTTCCATCAAAAGAGGGGTTGGTGGCAACTTTGAGACCAGGATGTGGCAATAGGAAACAGCCAATGTTTGTAAAACAAGAGTGTATGTGCTTCCTGACATTCTGTAACTCTTCATGCTGGTTTTGTTTCACCTGGAGAAGAGGAGGATGTAGGTTGAGGCATCTGATCATTACAATTTGTCGTTTGGTGATGGAAAACAGGAATTTTACTTATTACTAATTATTTTTTCCTTCCGTGTTAGCGGTAGTACTTACATGTGGGTATTCACCTTCATAACTGGAGAGGTAACTGTTATGGACCTCCTAATTAATGGCTTAACAACACTAGAACACTCTCCTTCCTTCAGGTATACATCAGACACCAAATTATGCTAAAATACAAAGTTTAATATATAAAGGAGGGAACAAATAGTACTGCTGCTAAATACGGGAAGAAAACAATATGATAGGTAAAAGGCCAGGTTTTCCCTACATACAGCGGCAGTATTTACATCGAGTCACAAGCTCTGATGGGTTTAGATCTTCATTAGGGTGGCACCGCTTTAAGCACCATCCACCCAAAAGTACCCTCCTGTGTTGAGAATGGGTGGGCGGATCACCAGATAACGTTTGACGCTATGTTACCTTTGTAATATTCTTTTAAAAAGACAAATAGATTGTCCGTCATGTTGAACTGTGCTGAATGGATAATACTGCAACAAATATCCAGACCGTGTCAACTTAGCTTGATGGTGAAAATGGATGGTAAAGCGGAGAGGAATACTTCTTTACCAAGATTGGCTTTGTTTAAAACTTCTATGAAGAGAAGGTTTCAGATGCATAATGACCATTTCCCCAAGAAATTTTTTTAAATCTCCAGCATGCTTTGCAGATGTGATAGCATCTAAGCATCCACCATTTTGTGATAAAAAGGTAAGAAACCCTTTCATTGCTTTTAGTTATATGAATTTCATGATCAGGAAAGCCCGAATATTGCTCAGCTGACACTTCCATAGGAGATGAGGCATCGGTACAGGAGTATTAAAACTGTCCAGATAACAATTTTGATCATCTCTCCCACTTCCTACAATTTCTAGGTACTGGGGAGGAGAGGTGTTTTACCAAGAAGATTGAGTGGATTGCAGCTTTTTTTTTATTTTTTTATTCTGTGAAAGTCTGCTTCAGGTTGGTTAATTTTATGAAGCGTCTGGACCTTCAGAACTTTCTCCTGACAGACTCTCCTCCAGAGACTGAAGCTATACACGTTGGGCCTTGTTACAGATGCTACGGAAATTAAAGTCTTTCTTTAAGAAGCAACCGCTTGAAGAATGTGTGTGTAAGATATGTCTTTTTCTAGCTGAGTCAATCAAAGAAAAGGGAATTATGGAAATGCCTCTGCCTAAGGGATTTCTTAAGAGACCACAAGCTTGCACTTATGAGATTTAATTTTAACAAAAGGCTTGTCTGGAGAAATAGCTTGTAAATATAGAAGCCAGGTTAGACACGAGCAATAACACACATATTCAGAAAATTAAATATTCTTACATTGAAAAGCATATTACTGTTTAAGAGGACACTCCCTCTGAATTCTGACTGGTATGCCATGGTCATTGTTACCATAGTAAATCTGAATTTTAAGGCCAAGAATTCTGGAGTACATGTAATCATAGAGTAACTGCAAAAGTAATGTATAATCTCTGTGGAATGCTTTGCACCTCGTGAATTCATCCCATCAGGCTGTACATGGGATAAACACTGCCTCCAATGTGACCATCACAAGGTTCAGCACTTTATTTCCATTATCACATAAAACACACAATTGGTGTGCCTTCCATCACTGTAAATATCACCTGCCTCAAAGGGCCATCTGTTAAAATTGATGGAGACTGGCACCACACTACTGATTCCAGGGAGAATGAAGTGGAATCCCATGCAATCTACATATAGTCTATCTCCTCCAACTCCTCCCAAATCCTCAATGTACATACACTCCTACAAAACTTTCAAATCCTACCCCCACCTTCACTTCCTTTCTACCCATCTGCTCCTAGCAGCTGGTGATGTCTCTCCAAACCCCGGTCCCATCTCAGCAAACCCACCACGTACTAACTCAAGGAACCACACGAATCTCATACCCATCTCATGTTACTCTTCCTCTAAATCCTCCTTCAATACTGCCCTCTGGAATGCACGCTCTGTTTGCAATATTACAAAATCCACTGCTGTCCACGACCTATTCATCTCTTGTTCCGACCTCTTCATCTCTTGTTCCCTAGATTTACTAACCTTAACAGAAACTTGGCACTCCCCCTCAGACACTGCTACCCCTGCATCTTTGTCCTTTGGTGGTCTTCAACTTACCCACAACCAAAGACACTCTGAAAGTAAAGGTGGTGGTGTAGAGTTTCTCCTCTCACCTCACTGCTCCTTCAAACCTCTACCCACGCCCCTTCCCTCTCTTTCCCATCATTTGAAAAACCCTTCTCTGCTAACATTATCACCCCCTGGTTCCCCTCTCCTCTTCCTTAACCTCTTTGCTGCCTGGCAACCATACTTCTCTTCTAATATACCATCCCTAATTCTCGGAGACTTCAATATTCCCATTAACCCACCTTTGACCTCAGCAGCCTCTAAACTACTTGCAATTACTTCCTCCATGGGGCTATCGTAGTAGGCTAATTCTCCTACCCATGTAGCTGGCAATACCCTCGGCTTAATTTCTATCTAATATCTGCAACACTCCATTTCCTCTCTCTGATCACCACCTCTTATTGTTTGCTCTCAAGTACCCCCTCACCCTAACCCCCCTCAACTCAGGATGAACCTTCATTCTACTGACCTCCAGCAGCTGTCAGCTGATATTGATTAACATCTGCTATCCATCCCTTCCCTCTCCCTCCTTCCCTCCTTGAAGAGGAGAGGGGAACCAGGGGGTGATAATGTTAGCAGAGAAGGGTTTTTCAAATGATGGGAAAGAGAGGGAAGGGGGCGTGGGTAGAGGTTTGAAGGAGCAGTGAGGTGAGAGGAGAAACTCTACACCACCACCTTTACTTTCAGAGTGTCTTTGGTTGTGGGAAGGAGGGAGAGAAGAGAAGGAGGGAGAGAAGAGAAGGAGGGAGAGAAGAGAAGAGAAGGAGGGAGAGAAGAGAAGAGAAGGAGGGAGAGAAGAGAAGAGAAGAGAAGGAGGGAGAGAAGAGAAGAGAAGAGAAGGAGGGAGAGAAGAGAAGAGAAGGAGGGAGAGAAGAGAAGAGAAGGAGGGAGAGAAGAGAAGAGAAGGAGGGAGAGAAGAGAAGAGAAGGAGGGAGAGAAGAGAAGAGAAGGAGGGAGAGAAGAGAAGGAGGGAGAGAAGAGAAGGAGGGAGAGAAGAGAAGGAGGGAGAGAAGAGAAGGAGGGAGAGAAGAGAAGGAGGGAGAGATCCTCCCCGGATCTCTACCCTGCCGTCCTGCAAAGTGTCACTGCTAGCCTTTCTTCCATCTTTGACTGGATGTCCTCCCACTTTCTGAAACTCAATCTCTCTAAAACTGAGCTCCTTGTCTTTCCTCCTCCTAATACTGATCCGCCTCTTTCGCTCTCCCTTCAAGTTAGTGGTAGCCACATCAGTCCATCCTTGCAAGCGTGCGGTCTTGGTGTAATACTTGATTCTGGCCTCACCTTTAAGCCTCCCATCCAGTATGTTGCTAAATCCTGTAGATTCCATCTTAAAAATATAGCCTGCATCCTCCCCTTTTTTATGCAAGATGCTACCAAGGAGCTTGTCCATGCTCTAGTAATTTCCCACATGGATTATTGTAACACTCTCCTAATTGGTCTTCCCAAAATTGTCCCTCTACAGTCTATAATGAATGCTGCCGCCAGACTAATTTTCCTCTCTAGTCAGTCCTCTCATACCTCACCCCTCTGTCAGTCTTTACACTGGCTTCCTGGATCCTATAGGAGTCAATTCAATGTGCTAACCCATACCTATAAAGCACTGAACAATTCTATACCCTCATATCTCTTTACAGATCCATAGGTACGCCCCTTCTCGGTCTCTCCGCTCTGCCTGTGTACTGCCATGCACTCTTGCAGGACTTCTCGTGGGCAGTTCCCTTCCTATGGAATAGCCTGCCTACAGCCAGACTCTCCCCTAGTCTTCAATAGTTTAAGAAGTGCCTTAAAACCCATCTCTTTAGGAAAGCTTATGGCCTCCGAGAGTAACCTCTACCTCACATACCTGTCTCTTGCTTTCTCCTAAAGGGCAGCACTCTACTCTCTCCTCCAACTCTGCTTTACTTCCACCTTATTTGATTCCTATTTCCTGTCCTAATGTGTTTTATACCCCACCTCCTATAGACTGTAAGCTCATATGAACGGAGTTCTCTTCAACCTATCGTTCCTTTAAGTTTTCTTGTCCTATTTATAGTTAAATCACCCCTCTTATAATATTGTAAAGCGCTACAGAATCTGTTGGTGCTATATAAATGGCAATAATAATAATAATAATAATACTTGCCAAATAGAAACCTATTCTATTCCACTGCCTCACAGACTCTTATCCATCTTGAACAGGCAAAATCTGAAGGGGGGGGGGAGGTGGTGTTTATACAGGTAATTAGGGAGAGATGCCAACATTTTAAATCCTATGTTCTTAATGATTACTTGCCTAGTTAAGGCAACTACCCAAATGTAAGTACTGCAGCTATATATGAAGGGCAAAAGTGCACTCACAAGAACCTATATAAAATTACTTTTATATATAATGGGAGTGGGCTCTTTCAGTACTCTTATGTCATGCAGGAAAGTATTGCAATTAAAAATGTAATTCTAAAATCAGAGTGCTGAAATCGACCATTATAAAATCTACACACTACTCCTATAGGGAGTATGAAATCAGAACAGCAGGGGGCATATCCGTGATTCAGTATAGTATCTAAAGGGTGATAGGACTGCCTGGAAGAGTGCATGCTTACAAAAACTGCACACAGCTCAAAGTATACTGTTAGGTGACTTTTCTCTGATATTTCCAGAAGCAGAGCTTCATAGGAATAAAAATATACAATTAGTATCACAAATCAGGGGCCCCAAAATATATATATATAAAAACAAAATTTCAAGTCACAGAGAGTAGCAATTCAGAAGTAAACTCCCATGATCCTCCATTCTGTAAGGGTTTAATAACTGGAAAGCTATAGATTGCAAAACCCCATAAATACATCAATTTGCTGTTACCTGCAGCCTCTTCTCCAGAAACAGGTTTCCACCTTCCAAGCCGTATGAGTGTTCGTAGGGATAGCTCCAGTCTCTAATTAAAAACATGAGGGTCTATAAAGAAAAGGCGCAGACAAATAGAAATATAAAGGTGTTAGACGAGGATACACAAGAAAAAAACAAAAACAAACACAAAAAAAAATAATAAAAAAATAAAAAAACACAACTTAAAAACCTAGTTTACAAACTTTACCAGCCATCCATTAGCCGGAAGTGTCAGCTGACCACTCTCAGCCAATGAATGCAATTCTGTGCATAGAAATTTGTACAAAACGGACATTACCAGCTCTGAACTCTTGTCCTGGGCTGGCTTATGATGCCGCCAGAGGCGGAGTAACACCTCTAGCAGCAAAATAGTTGAAGTATTTCACATACAGACACCATAAGCATTTCAAATAACTCAAGTGGTCATGGTGCTTGGAGCAAGCCTTTAATTGCTGAATACATGTTAATCACTTGCCGTAAAAGAACAGATATTGATAAGAAAAATTATTGAACTAGTTAAATGCTGAGGCTCCTCAATAATAGTTTCTTAATCACCATGATGTACTTTGGTCTTTGAGCTGTTCAATAATAAGCGCTGTGACCAATAATAGAATATGTGTTAATATCATACTTTCTGCTTAGTAATAATATTTATTACTTTACCTGAAATGGCTTTTTGTAAATCTCCTCCATTGCAAGACGCCCATACTCCGTAAAAAGCTAAAAACCAACAATTAAGAAACATTCAGGAAAAATAGAGGATGCACATGTTTATCAAGTGACACTTCACCCGTGAGCTCCTTGACAGCAGATATTACTTTAAAAGCAACACAGCATGCATAACCTCCTTTGATATGGAAGCAGGCTACTTTACATTTACAAGCGTCAAATCAATTGCTTCTAATATCACTCGTTTGCTATTACTAACCACCTTAAGTGGTCAACTACAATAAGGATTAGCGAAATCCAAATATAATAAGGCTCTCATAAAAAGGGAATGTGTTACTTAAACACATTCCGTGACAAACGAGTGAACAAAGCATTACAAGGCAATGAGTCACTAACTCTTTCGGCACAAAAATAAACAATTTATTATAAATTGTCCATTAGAAGCAAACTTTAACAGACGCAGGTGGAAGGGTTTGCTAGTAAACATGTTTAAAGTTTGGACTATTTACGGTCACTTTGATTCAATTCCTCAGGAAGCATACAGCACATTTCATGTTACCATGATCGTTTATTCGTTTATAAAATCAATATACAGAGAATCCTAAATAATGAACATAGAATTAAGATCAGGATAGGGCAGACTGAAAGAAGTCATTTGCGCACTGTAGACAGAAGAGGTTTGAAACATCTATCTCAAAGCAGAAAACAGACAAAATGTATAGAACAAAAAAAAATATTTCTAAAATGAATTTTAAATTCTAAGATATACACCATTTTGACAAACAATTACCTGCAAATGCTGCAGATCATCCTCTTGGATATTCTGGGATAAGTTATAAACCTGCAGAATATCAAGAACATTTTAGGGAAGCATTTTATCATTTAACCCTTGTCTTATGTGAACAGTTCAATTTACTAAACTAGACAATTTACAAAAAAAAAAAAATACAAATTAAAAAAGAACCACAAAGAAACAACACCTAAAATTACCTACAGGTGGTTCAACAACATTTACATATTAATCCATCTTCAACTTGAAATCATACACTCATGCAAGTTCCAGATTATTTATATATATATTTATTTTTTAAACACAGACTATTTACATATGATAAATACAAAACATGTATAAGACTTTCCTGCAGCCTACTAGGGATCAAGGGCTGTGAGAATGGTGTTCACTGCATCTAAAGAAAACCTCACTGTATATAGTACGAGCGCAATGGTAGCTCAGTCCGTAATTGTGGTTTTTACAGCAAAATAAGCAGTTTCATACATCAGATACGCGAGTGGCCACTTAACCAAAGAATGTAAAATTCTTCTCTTGTACTTATGTAATAGACAAACAGATGTAGATAGCACTCCGCGGCCTTGTTATAGTTGCATTTTTGGCATTGCCTGTGCTTTTTGAGGTTGATATGCTATTGGCAATCTTTGGTGAACATTTTTAACAATATTAAAGGACCACTATAGTGCCAGGAAAACATACTCCCTTTCCTGGCACTATAGTGCACCCACCCTCAGGGTCCCCCTCCCGCCGGGCTCTGGGGTGAGGAAGGTGTTAAACTTACCTCTTTCTCCAGCGCCGGGCGGTGAGTTCTCCTCCTCCTCTTCGGCTGAACGCGCATGCGCGGCAGGAGCTGCGCACGCATGCAGCCAGTCTCATAGAAAAGCATTTCTCAGAAACTGCTATGTTTATTAAAAAAAGGGTTAATCCTGGAGGGACCTGGCACCCAGACCACTTCATTAAGCTGAAGTGGTCTGGGTGCCTAGAGTGGTCCTTTAACCCTACAAGCTGAATTTATGTGAAACAGTTCAAAAACTCCTAGGCTAGTCAGGACACAATTCTATTAATGCCCAAATGGAGTTGCTAGCAGTTAAATCTAACTATACCATTTTGAAAGAGATGTTAAAATGTAAATAACCTGTACGGAGCTGGTCATGGTGCTCAAAGCAAACACAGTTGCACAGTCTTTGATTGTTGACTGGCTATCAAAGGCCCCCTGTGTGTCCATGAGGATAACTGCAACCTAAGAGGAAAGACAGACATACGATAAACATGGAGGACACAAGAAAGAACATTTCAGTTACAGATTACATTATCAATACGTTTGTAAGCAGAACCCCTCCCCCCAAAAAAATTCAAGACATTTAATATGTCCTCTTCATTTTTACTTGCATATTAGAGTTAAACCATATCTGACATAATGTGACAAGAATAAGATGATGGGCACCAACAAAAACAACAGATGAAAAATATAATATTAAGTTTCCAAACTTGGGATAAAATGTTAAAATATTTCAATGTTTTCCCATTGCTATTTACGGTATCAAAACAACTTTAGCTTAATGAAGCAGTTTTATTTTATAGATCATGCCGCTGCAGTCTCACTGCTCAAGTCACTGCGATTTAGGAGTTAAATCACTTTTTTTTGTTGATGTAGCCCTAGCCATACATGTTTTGGCTGGGACTGACACAGCATGCATGAAAGAAGAAAAAAAAAAAAAGAAAGAAGAAAAAAAAAGAAAAAAGTAGAATTTGCAAAAAATAAGTTGGATATTAAATTGCTTTAGAAGTTTTCTGTAAATTTAACCACACACTTGAGGCTCCTGCAAGGTCAAGGACACTATTGACAACAGAAGATAATATATTCTAAATTAAACAGACTGTGCAATGAAGGGAGTTTAAACATTAGATCTCTCTTTATGGAAATTGTTTAGGAAGTCTGAGTGAGTCACAGGCAGTGGAAGTATGGCTAAGGCTCTAAAAACAAAGTCATTTAACTCCTAAATGGCAGAGAAAGTATGAGAGGGAATGAGAACCACATGATTTATTCTTTGCGAAATAGTCTAGTTGGTTATTAAGCCAATAGTCTGTTTCTTTGCATGCGTTACTGGACTCTGGTCATATGTGGAAATGGCTAACTTACCTTAGATCCATCGGGCTTGTCAACAACAAACACTTCACTCCAGATCTGTATGCCTGTAGTTTCTCGCTCACACCCTCCTCGCCATGTAAAGCCAGTTAAAGGTTCACAGTCACCACCGATCCAGCTTGATCTCTAGAAATAAAATTAATGGAGGTACACTATAAAAGAAACACTATAGGGTCAGTAACACAAAAAGACAGATCATCGGCAGAGTTAGCACAAGTCAAACAGAGCTCTGGCCAATCAGCATCTCCTCATAGAGATGAATTGAATCAATGTATCTCTGAGGAAAGTTCAGTGTTTGCATGCATGCAGAAGGTGGAGACACTGAATGGTAGTGCTGCGCAGTGTGTTCTCTGAAAAGACAGTGTTTACAGCAAAAAGGCCTGAAGGGAATGATTATACTGCCCAGAACGGTGACAACAAGCTGCAGTTGTTCAAGTGACTATAGTGTCCCTTTAAGTTTAACACTTTGGTTGGCAAGTTTTTTGACATACAGTATCAGCCATCATGTTTAGTAACTTATGGAGTTTAGCAGATTCAGACATTTGGCAAATGCAGAGCATAAACAAACAGCTGAAACAAAAAAAAAATAACATCCCTTTGTGCTTTTATAATAAACAGTTTTCCTGGCACTGCAGGTCCCCTCTCCCTCCCAAGATGCTGAAGGGTTTAGAACCCCTTTAGTGACACACCTGAGACCTGGTTGAGGGTCCGCCCACACTCCTCCCCCGCCGTCATCCGGCGTGGGAGACAGATTGCGCATGTGCGGACACCGGCAGGGGGAGACCTAATGCACGTGTGCGACAGCATTAGATCTCTTCATAGGAAAGCATTGAAAATGCTTTCAATGCTTTCCTATGGGGATTTTAGCGACGCTGGAGGCCCTCACATAGCGTGAGGACGTCCAGCAACGCTATAGCAAAGTGTGCTATAAACCAGGGTTAACTCCAGGAAGCCACTAGAGGAGGAGTTAACCCTGCAATGTAAATATTACAGTTTATGAAAACTGCAATATTTACAGTTGCAGGGTTATGGGTAGTGGGAGTTGGCACCCAGACCACTCCAATGGGCAGTGCCTGGAGTGTCCCTTTAAGGGCAGAAATTTAATTTTTTTCCCCAAATGAACAGCTTCCTATATTTTTTTTTTGCCTCACTAGAGCTTTGTCTTATACATGAATAAGTATGTAATAATAGAAAGCTCCTATGGAGCATGACAATTAGTATGCATACATGTTCTGTAGCTGCTTTATAACAGAATTATATGAATACATGTTGTGGCAGAACTACCACTTGTTAGTCTGTTTTTACTCCTTTTTCGGGTGTGTTTTACCCTTTTTCCATACGGGCGTACTTCATACGAACAAAGTCCATTAGTCTCCCGAACGAGGACCACCCCTATACCCCATTAGAACGTTCACACCAGTAACTTAAGTGTGAAACCACAAAGGAAGTAATTAATAAATGCTCCCCTGGGTGGCCGCTATTTCATATAACCGAACATGTGGCAGACAAAAAAAAAAAAAGAGTGGCGGCAATCTTGTCTCCCGAACGTGGGCAGCAGTAATTGGTTGCCGAGTGCTTGGAACGTTTTCCAGCTAGGCACTCGTGCAAACCCCGGTAAAACGTAGACCGCTGCCCCTTCTGTTTTCCAACAACCTACACGAAAGACGTTCTGCAGATATGAACTACCGACTAGGGAGAGCATTTGTATCCAGAAATGAAACGATTCCCTTCCTTGGTATTCACACTTCACGGTCAAAACTTTACCTCAATTACATTCCCATTTACTGAATTGATCTGAGTGATTTTTGGATAGGTTATATATTCAGATCGGGGCATGAACTTTTTGTGGGGTTTCAGAGTATGGCGGGGAGACTTCGGTTACTGTATATTTTGTTGGATTTTCTGTACCAGAGAGATAATGAGATTAGAGACTTTTTCTCACGCAATTATCTCTCAGGCACAGAGGATCCTGGGATTGAAACCCCTGTTTTCGTTCATTGTAAACCCTGTATAGGGGACAGGGCATAAAAGCCATGTGTGTGACAATTGATTCAGTTGACTCCCAGGACTATGTTTCGTCTGGTTACTGGGGGGAATAGGTATTTACTTGTGCTGATGGTTCCAGAGTGGCTGAAGGAAGGTAATAGCGGCGGTAACCAGTCGGGTTACCCGTGGTCCGCTACAAATGTAACCATGGTAAAGGTGTCTGCTTATTCAGATTGGACATCATTTCAAGTAGCCAGGTAATATAACCAAAAAAAGGGGGAGGAAAAGAGTTGTTCTATGGGTCATCAGTGTCCTCATTGCCTCATTTTACAAAAAGTGTAATAGAAAAAGTCTCTTTCATAAATTAACCTTGTTACGCCCCACCGGCTGTCAGACAACCGGTTCAGTTACTTCCTAGTTTGGTTTGGTTAGCACGGTAGAACTAAACTCAAGAGGCAGCAATTGCCCAGAGCACCTGCCTTGCAAAGAATTCTCAATGGATAATCTGATTGGACAGCCACAGAAAGTCTAACATGGGTTAAAAGGGAAGGGCTTGCAAAGGCTTTAGAGAGAAAGATCTGCAGATTGAGATGTATGTTTTTATATAATTTAATTCATACATGTTTTCATTGGGGTATATCCGTGAGTTTTATTTTTGGGGGGATTCTGGCAACGGAGAGTCTCTTTAAACTTCAAAGCATACTTAGAGAAAAAAAACAACTCATTTTGTGGATACAAATAAGAGAAAGTGGTTTACCTGGCTGTACATGTATCGGAGCATAAAGTCAAGCAAAAAAGATTTTCCTTTCCGAAATGCACCAGCCACAGACACAACAACTACATTTAAATCACGGATATGCTCCTGCATCAAAATGCTTTCCAATGCTTTTTCGTCCAAATCAAAATTATGATCATCTTCATGGGCAAGAACAATCTGGATCGGACATGGTCGGTCCATCACCTCCGTATCAGAGTTAAGCTGGATCTCTTCATCCTGTTCTTCGTCTACAGAAACAATGGCAGATGTCAGGAGAATAAGTATATACAAAGGGGCAAAATAAAGCAATTTGGTACCAGACATTTGTTATATGCACAGATGCCATTGGAAAATATTTGATAAACCAAACGTGTGTAAGGACGCCACCTTTGTCCAGCCCTCTTCCTCTAACATCAGATGTCAGTGTAAGAGAATGGAGGTAAATGCATGTGTGAGTTTATAGTTTATTATTATTTTTTCTAAATATATATGTATTTTCTTAAAACACGGTTATTTGCATGGAGTAATATTTTAAGAGATTGTTATTAAGCCCTACATATTCATGCTCTTCCTACCAAGGACCTGCAGGTGTCTTTCAATACATGGAGGTCCCCTCTCTCAGGAGGGCTATGAGCAGCGGTCAAAGTGAGCACAGCTCATAGCCCTTTAAATGCTATGGGATAACGTTCAAGCTACCGTGATAAATTAAAATAGAAATATTTTATCCCCACCCAGCCTGGCTGTGTTCCCAAGTTTCAGGGAGACACCCCTGGGCCTGAAAAAAAAAAAAAAAACCTTGGGGAGATCTCTCTGCATGCCCTCTGCAGCAAGATCAGTGCTGGGCTCTGCCAGTTGTCCAGCACAGATCTCGGTGTTCTGCAGCATGAGACAAAGCTCTTCCTCTGAAGCTGCAATCACAGCACAGAGGGCTCCCACACTGTGAGCAAGGAAATCCCTCTACTGATGTCAGTACTGACATCAGCAAAGGGAATCCCTTGAAAGGTGGAATTACAAATGGGATTGTAGGTTGGACTATGGGTTACATTAGGGCCAGGAAAAGAGGATAAACTGGGGTATCACTGTATTTGAGAACAGTAGCAGAATACACATATGTGGTGATTGCAGTTGTGGGACACATGTGATCTGTGAACTTCCGAATAAGTGGGGACAAAAAAAAATTTTTTTTACCTAAATTAGTCTTAAGTTTGTGATACAATAGCTAAATGAAAAGTTTCTAAATGCTCTTAATTACACAGTCTCCAGGATGTACTTTCTACAAATATATACTTTTGTATAGCGCGTTTGGTATGAGATTACAACTTTATTACTGGTCACAGAAGCCAAATTTTGTGAAGTTTTAGCATTAAAACTTTAATTCAATCACTACTTAGTGAATTTATTTTGAGTTAATTTTCTTTACTTGCACTTTGTGTATAGTAATTATTGCACATAAAACAAACAGACAAAACTTTTTAACCCCCCCTCCCCATTTTTAAAATAGTCTTCCTTTTTAATATAGTATTATGCATACATATATAAAAAGAAAGCCCAATTTCTCATAAAAAAAAAATAAAAAAAATAAAAAAATATAATAATAATAATAATAATAATAATATATATACCCCCCATATATATATGTGTGTAAATATAAAATATGCATGGGTGCACTTAAACAGAAAAGGTGAAATTGTGGTAGAATTAATGCATTGTGATCAAGCACTCATTGGCGTTTTTGCAAACGCGTTCATAGAACTAAGCCCGTTCTATTAAGGACTACAAAGAAATCGAGAATGACAAGGTAGCCTGTGTTGGTTAAAATAAACAACTAATGTACTGCTGCATGACCAGATTAAAAAGTAAACATACGAACACCTGTACTCAAAATATTATAGTAAATTATTAACGAGTAGAAATATACTAAGACAAAACATATTTACAGCAAAGTGTATTAATAAAACGCTGACTTGGCTCACATTACGGTCATCACTAACCGCATGCTGGATGACTTTTCAGTTTAATAGTTAGAACTAGTTTAAAACAAGCAAGGCATTCTGCTGGGGAAAAGGGAGAGAAATTCATAGAGAAGTGATCGTATTCATTTTTATGCCCAAATTTATATCACCCCCTTGAAGAAGAGCTCCGCAGATCAAGTTGCATTTGTCTGGCTTTTGAATTCCATAAACATTTGTCTATTTTTTTAACTATATTATTATACATACACACATAAAAACAGGGGGCTGCACTGACCTGGATGCAAAGTCAAGGTGAACATATGATTTTCTACATAAATCAGGGTACAACATGTAGGCAGAAAGCATATATGGAAAAGTGAAGGCAATAAAACTGACCGCAACTTTAAAATTAGTTGAGATTGATAATTACCATGCTCTGGGGGGTATGAGTTAGGAGCATAAGGTTTACAAGGGCAAAGATGAACAAAAAAATAATAATTTGGGATAATGTTAAAAGAGAGGAAACGAAAAGCTCAATAAGAGCACCTCCACAGGATGGATTAAATGGACACTTTAATCACCAGAACAACTACAGCTTAATGTAGTTGTTCTGGTGAGTATAATCATTGCCTTCAGCCATTTTCATGAAAACACTTCCTTTTCAGAGAAAAGGCAGTGTTTACATTGCCCTTAGGGACACTTCCAAGTGGCCACCGGAGGTGCTTCCTGGCTTAGGGATTCACAGTAAGCAGCACTGCATGTGGATGTTGAATTTTACTCAGAGATGCATGGATTAAGTGCATCTCTATGAGGAGGTGCTGATTGGCAAGAACATTGGATTGGCTAAAATAAAAAAATAAATAAAAAAATCGGCAATTCTGATTATGTCACCAAGGGGAGGAGCCAGCGCCAACAGACCCGCGCGGCACTGGAAATAAGGAGAGTTTTAATTTATTTTAAGGGTGTTAAAGGGAGGTCAAGCCACCTTAATGGTGGGTTTTGCACTATAGGGTCAGGAACACATGGTTGTGTTCCTGACCTTATAGTGTTCTTTTAAGGTACAAAATGATGTGCATGCAGCTGGGGGGGGTAGGGAGGGTTTGTCTCCTTGTTCCATATCCCTGGAGGAATACCATTCAAGACAAGGGGGTGTGTTGCTGCCCAAAAAGCAAAAAGGATTTACCTACGGAGCCAATACTATATAGGCTCCAGTCCATGTGAGTGGTTCAATTTTCTTCTATTACACATTTGCATTTTTTTTGTAAACCATCGGCACTATATATTGTTTTCTTTTTTTCCTTGTATACATATTTTAAGCGTTTATTTCCACATTGCCACTGTATTGAAGGAGTCAGTGTACCCTTTTACTATTTATATTGCAATAGCGCTCCACCTGTTGGTATATAACTTATACCATTTCTTCTTATATATTTGTACTGTATTGTGGATAAAGGGTATTCCACTTTTCGTGTTGAGCTGCTTCCACTATTTAGGCACTTTAGAGTATCACTCACTATCCCTGGTAAGAGAGAGTTGTTTCTTGCATTCAGAATAATCCTTTGACTCATGAGAAATCTCAGAGATCCACAGCCATTCCAGGCCTCACCTCGCCATAGGGCCTCCGCATCAAGTCTATATCATCGGTGGAGAATCTGGGTTCGTCCCATTGCTCGAGTGTCATCTGCAAACCGGTAATGGCCAGATAGTAAAGAGCTAGCTCCGCACCCAACTTCTCTTTTCCTTGGAAGCATTATGTAAATTGCGGACAGTAGGTTAACTGGTTGTACTACTGATGCAAGGATGTTTGAATGGTCTATGAAAATAAAGCCACTGATTTAAAGTTAAATAGCCCAAGTAATAGACAACTTAAATGGACAATAGTGTCACTCAAACAACTACAGCTTATTGTAGTTGTTCTGGTGTCTATAGCCTGTCCCTGCAGGCTTTTTGTTGAAAACACCACCTTTTTAGAGAAAAGGCAATGTTTACATTGCAGCCTAGGAAAACCTCTAGTGGCCATTCCTCAGACAGTCACTAAAGGTGCTTCTGGGTCAGTGCCCTACAATGTACAGCACAGATGTTCAGTGTCTCCACACTCTGCATGGTTCGAAGCATCTCTATGAAGCCAGGGCAGGGGGGACAACGACGACAGCACCAAAGGGTACCTATAGTGTTAGGAATACAGCTTTGTATTCCAATATTCCAAACACTTTACTTTTTACTGACTAATGCAGAACTGGATTCAGATTCCAAACACAGCCACTAGAGGGTATGCTGTTGGGTGTTTGCATTTATTTTTACGATTATATTTCACTAACCTTACTTATTGGGTTAGACAATAGAAATAAAAACCCATAATGAAAACGAAGCCAAATCACAGCGTTTTAATTTTTGCTAGCTGGATTTCTACTGGTTACTATTTGGTGTTTAGTGAATAACTCACACAATGGATTGGCTTTGAATGAACACCGTCAAAAAGGGACACAAAGGGCACAAGAAATGTGCAATTTAATACCTTTAAACATTTTTTTTTTCAGATTTTGTTTTGTGTAGACCTTTTTTGTCTTTAAACTTTTCCCATCAGAGATGCTGCTCATTATTACATTTACTATCTCAGAAGCACCAAAAGATCCAGACAGTGCAGAACATTAACTGTTGATCCAGAATATTTTTTTGCACTTTTGTTTCCCTTTTCTGGTTAAATAAAGTTAAATCAGGTCGGCCAAAGGCCGCATAGCTTTCAATAGGAAACAAACAGTCCCACATCTCCCACAATATCCGATGCAGTACAAAAGACTTCCCAGGGAAAGCGTAGGCCGTAGAAGGATTTGCGAGAGGTTTTATCCATTAAGCTCACAGAGGGATTTTAAAAATGAAAGGGATATCAAAGTGTTCCGAAATGATAGACAATGAAAGGTGTGTAATAAAGACAATAGAGTAGATTTAAAAAAAATAGTTTTTTTCTAGCCAACTAGAAAAATTAAAAAAATAAACCAAAGTATTTTTAATAAATTAACTGGTTTATTGCATTACATATCTCAAACTCTTGTAGACCATGGATTTATGGGACATTCAAGTGGTTCTGATTAAAAACAATAAAAGGCCTAGGATTGATTAAAAAATACACTTTTATCTATTCAAAAATGTGGATCACTCGGATCCTTTCAGCACACAGACTAATTCTCATTGTGCATGCTCAATACAACATGTTTACACTATGAAATATTAGAGTGTGAGGGAGTGATTTCTAGGCCATTTTAAATAAACTATAAATAAGTAAATGAAAATAAGGTGTCAGTGACTGCTGCTTGGGAGCGGCACTGCTTTCACAGTACTATTTCTATCCCCGTGAGATGTGCCAGAAATAGCACCAAGTAATGCTGAAGACTTTGCATTCCATGGGGTATGCAGCTATGACAATATGCAAACAGTCAATTTGATTACAAGCAAGGAGAGCAGAGCGGTGGAAAAAAATTTAGACAGATTTCCCTGCATATACATGTCTGCAGTATTGTTAACCCAATTATGCCATCTCTAGTCTCCAATGGAATAAGAAAAAAACAAGAAAAAAAAAAAAAAAACACGTTATATAGCTTCAAGCTGCCTCCTTCCTATGGCAATTACATTGTTGCCATGGTTACCAGCATAACTTCCTGTTCGGACCTTTTTTCTTTCACCTACAATTCGGGTCATGTTCAACCACGATACAACACTTGGAAAAAGGATTGCCATTGTCACTCCCAGGCCAAATCCCAACTATTTGGACTAATCCGGCAGCCCATTCTGGCTTTGCAGCTATATTGGAAGATAAATAGTTCAGTAGCCAACAGCCTCCAACGACTCTTACGTTGTCAGCATTTCATAAAACATCATCTCTGTTTGTTGTTATTCCTATAACCAGACAACCTGTAAAATTATCAACAGCCAGTCCTCCGCTTTAATTAGGAAGTTAACATGGCTAGACGCTACTCAGCAACTCTGTCTGGTTAGTTTGCATGTCCCAGGTTAGTAGAATAGAGATTCATTTTCCATAGAGACCATGGTGACGTTTCTAGCGGTTTGCCATCTTAATTATAAATTGTTAGACAATACCATAAAATGATACCTCAGAGGTATCCATTATTTGCCAAATATATCTCCCAATACCTTTGTCTCATAACTAATTAAAACATACTAAAAGGCATACAAAGGTTAGACTACCTACAAGGCCCTAAACGCCAACCTATAGATGGCCATAAATTCAGGGCACACCTGATTTACTTGACAAAACTCCTTTCGAAACCACACCAACGCCATTATAAAATTAAAACAGTTAAAGAATTTACCATCAAGCCTTAATCAGATTTGACCCTATGTGGTAAAATCACGATATCCTCACACTCAGATTTAGCGAAGGCCCATGTCATTTCTTATGGTACCTTAAAAAGAATACTAAAAGGTACACTATAGTCACCAGAATAACTACAGCTTAAAGTAGTTGTTCTGGAGAGTATAATCATTGCCTTCAGGCGTTTTCATGCAAACACTTCCTTTTCAGAGAAAAGGAAGTGTTTATATTACCCCTAGGGACACATCCAAGTGGCCACTCCTCAGATGGCCACTGGAGGTGCTTCCTGGCTCAGTGTTGCACAGTAGGCAGCACTGCTGTTCAGCGTCTCCACGCACTGCATGTGGACACTGAATTTTCCTCATAGAGATGCATTGATTCAATGCATCTCTGAGGAGGTGCTGATTGGCCAAAACAGCGTTTGGCATCGCCCCTTGCCGATGTTATCCAATCCAATGCGTTCCCATGGGAAGCATTGTATTGGCAAAAATAAATAAAAAAATTTTTTTAAAACACGGCAATTTTGACGATGTCTCCAAGGGAACGGGGCCAGCACCGTCAGACCCGTGCGGCGCTGGAAATAAGGTGAGTTTTATTAACTTTTAAGGGGGCAAGCCACCTAAATGGTGGGTTTTGCACTATAGGGTCAGGAATACATATTAGTGTTCCTTAAATAACTAATTCATAGTAATTTCATACTGTGCCATCTCTGTCTGTTTGATATACCAACTGAGCATCATCTTTATGTTGAATTTCTTGGTTTTAAACTTCAAGGCTCCTGTTATTTTGTCCAATTTTTTGTGGATTAATCTCTGCTTTAAAGCATAACTGTAAATGTTTAAACACTGATTTTGTTAGCGGTACCAATAAATACACGCTTAATTTTAATGATAATTGTCTTTTTCACTCCTGTGAGTGGTTGTGTAGGCAGGGCCCCAGTGCACTGCTGTGCCCGGAGGCCTATAATGCTGTTATAACAGCTCTACTTTTAACCCTTCACAGTATCCCCTTACATCTTGCAAATTCATTTTATATGTATGGACGCTCTTTGTCAGACTAGGTTTAGATCCTTCATCTTTCTCAGGGCATTCATTTAAAACTGGTGCAGAACATTAATGTTCCAGTTCACATTATTAAAAGATTAGGTCGCTGGAATTCATTGGTCTACAATAGATACATACCTCAGCCTTGAGAAGGAATTAAAATAAGCTTTTCAAGATTTGGCCACGTAATTTAGTGTTTCCATAATAAAGTTTTGCATCTCTAAATACTTTTGCCCTCTTTATTTACAGGTCTACCAGGCATCTGTTTCGATACACCACAAGTGACTTGTTCGATTAATTCTTCTTTGTCCTTGAACACAAATGTTAAGGCAGGAACCTGTAGTTGTGGGAGGGGTTATGCGGCTATATAGATTCAGGCTGCCTCGATCCATGTCCGCTGCGATTGCCCCACCCACTCTTCCATGTAATATATCACTAATCGTTTCCTTGGCGGGCCCTCTTTATTTATAGGTCTATTTGACCATTAGTTACGGCACACGACAAGCAGCTTGTTTGATTTTTTTATTTTATATATATATATATATATATATATATATATATATATATATATATATATATATATATATATATACACACACACACACATATATATATACATACACATACACATACACACACACACACACACACACTATACAGAGTCATTTTATTTAGAACTACAAACGCACACAGAACATTTAAGCATGTCAATATTTATAATTATAATTAGTTTCAAATCATTCTAAACCTTGCAATGCTAGTTTAGTTGAGCACTAAATACACAAAGATCAAATATTCACAAATAATATTATGATACCTGTGCTAGCTTAAGCTGTACATGTACTAATACATTAAAACGGTTCTTAAGACATAAAAACTGATTAGTGAATTTTCGAAGCTGAAATTAGTGAGCATCTACATAGACCACTTTGGATATTAGCTACACTGTACATATAATGCAGTATAAATGTATTTCCTGAAGTTTTTGTGGCATCAATTAAGCAGGATGCACTCTGTAGAAGGCACAGAACTCACCTCTGATGGTCAACACTGCAGGTCTAAAACGCAAGGCAATACAATCCATACACAAGTTTCCCATTTCCATCGACAATAGTAAAATGTGAGCTCCATGGAAAAAGCAGTCTTCCCCCTCCCTAGACACAGGCATGTAATCCATACATATCCACATGCTTTGCCTAGGAAAACCAATGTGCCGCCTAGCAGCCAGGAAAGCACAAAGCAAAATCCAAGAGGTAAAAGTTCAGAGGAAATTTACAACAAACTTATGGATAAATTAGCCTGATAATCACTAATAAAACAGATTTCACAACTTAAGCAAAAAAAGGATTATTAATGCCTACAAAACCAAAATAGAGTATTCTGGGTTTTAAAGGGACAAACAAATACAGTCTTCTTTGAAGTATTTTATGGTTGAAACAAATACAACCTTCATTTATTAAAGGACCACTATAGAGTCAGGAACACAAACGTATTCCTGACCCTATAGTGTTTAACCCACTAAAGGTGGCTTGCCACCAATAAACGTTAATTAAAAAACTTGCCTTATTTCCAGCAGTGCGCGGGTCCGCCAGCGCTGGCTGCGTCCCTTTGTGACATCAAAATGGTAGATTAGCCAATCCAATGCATTCCCATAGGGAGTGCATTGGATTGGTTAAAATAGGCAAGGGGCGGGGCCAAACACTGTTTTGGCCAATCAGCACCTCATCATAAGATGCACTGAATCAGTGCATCTCTATGAGGAAAATTCAGCATCACCATGCAGAGCATGGAGACGCTGAACGGCAGTGCTGCCTTCTGTTCAACACTGAGCCAGGAAGCACCTCCAGTGGCCATCTGAAGAGTGGCCACTTGGAGGTGTCCCTAGGGCAATGTAAACACTGCCTTTTCTCTGAAAAGACAGTGTTTGCATGAAAATGCCTGAAGGCAATGATTATAATCACCAGAACAACTACATTAAGCTACATTCTGCTTTCCTTACCTAAATTTTATTTTAACTTTCAAGGCTTCTTTTATCAGACAATGACAATTTTGCCTGTCGTATATGATTTTGTGCCATCAACAAAGACTGACATCACTCAAAGCATGTGGTATATTTTTGTATGTGGTATATCATTCTTCTATGAAGAAAATTTGTACTATCCAAACAGACTTGCCTGGAAAACAAATCAGTTCTACAGTTTGAGAAATTTATGTCCCATACTATTGAAAACAAAAATATGGATTTGCTTTAAGAAGCTTAGCCTAATTAAATGCCAAACATATTTGTCCATTCCTAATTAAAGCAGAAATGACAACTCCTTAACACCTTAGTGACCAGACCACTTTTCAATTTTCTTACAGTTTGGGACCATTTTTGCAGTATTTGTGTTTAACTGTAATTTGTCTCTTACTCATTTACTGTACCCACACATTATATAATGTACTTCTAGTCATTAAATGGACTTTCTAAAAGATAAATTATATATGATGAAAAAAAAAAAAAAAAAAAGGACTATACATTTTTTTTTATAAAATAGGATAAAAAATAAAAATTGTAAATAAATATTAAAAAAAAAAAAAAGCCTTTTCTAGCTTTGACCCCCCAAATCTGTTACACATATACTACTGCCAAAAAGCACCCATTCTAAAGTTTCTACATTTTGTCCTGAGTTTAGAAATAGCCAGTGTAAACATGTTCTTAGCTTTTTTTTTTTGGAAAGATATAGGGCAGTGATGGCGAACCGGTGGCACGCCGGGCCCTCTCTGTGGGCACGCGGCCATAGGTCACCGGGAGAGGGGGCCGCTGGCTGACTGCAGAGTAGCCACCTGCCTGCTCGAAACGGCAGGCGCCTGCTCTGCTTCTGTGTCGAGAGGCAGGGGGAGGGCTTTAGGAAGCAGCTCTCCTGTCCTCCCGCGCGATGCTGTGTGGAGCGTCACCGTGCGTTATCATGGCAACGCTCCACACAGCATCGCGTGGGAGTACAGGAGAGCTGCTTCCTACAATCCTTACCACCACCAGGGATAGTTGTGTGTGTGTGTGTGTGTGTGTGTGTGTGTCCCACCCCCCAACTCCTTCACCAAAGTTAAGAGGAAGGAGGGGGGGATACAGAATTAATAAATATATATTTTTTTTAATGTACCCCTACCCCACACACACCACCCCTTCCCCACCCCACACACACACACACACATCACCCTACCCTACCCCACCCCTCACACATCACCCCGCACACAGCGCACCCCTCCCCACACAGAAACACATACACTGCACCCCTTAATGCAGTATATGTGTGTGTATATTATATATATATATATATACACACATATATTATATATATATATATATATATATATATATATATATATATATATACATACATACATACATACATACATACATACATACATACATACATACATACATACACACACACACACACATATATATATATACATACATACACACATATATATACTAGGGATCGACCGATATTGATTTTTTAGAGCCGATACCGATAATCTGCGAACTTTCAGGCCGATAGCCGATATCTTGCCGATATTCTGTACATTTACTATTTTGAATAAATAAACTAATTCGAAAGGTAAATGCACAAAATATACATGCCACATGTAGTGGATGAAGTGTGTTTAGACAGGGGAACTGTGTGTGTGTGTGTAGTGGATGCAGAGTGTGTTTATATAATGCAGTGTGTGTAGTGTGTATATAATGCAGTGTGTTTATGTAGTGTGTGTATAATGCAGTGTGTTTTTGTGTGTGTATGTAATGCAGTGTGTGTGTGTTTGTGTAGTGTGTATGTATGTAATGCAGTGTGTGTTTGTGTAGTGTGTGTTTGTGTAGTGTGTATGTAATGCAGTGTGTGTGTCTGTGTAGTGTATGTAATGCAGTATGTGTACTGTGTATGTAATGCAGTGTAGTGTGTGCAGTGTGTGTCTGTAATGCAGTATGTGTGCAGTGTGTGTTTGTGTAGTGTGTATGTAATGCAGTGTGTGTGCGCCTGTGTAGTGTGTGTGTATGTAATGCAGTATGTGTACTGTGTAGTGTGTATGTAATGCAGTGTGTGTGCCTGTGTAGTGTGTGTGTATGTAATGCAGTATGTGTACTGTGTATGTAATGCAGTGTGTGTGCAGTGTAGTGTGTGCAGTGTGTGTCTGTAATGCAGTATGTGTGCAGTGTGTGTGTATGTAATGCAGTATGTGTACTGTGTTTGTGTAGTGTGTATATAATGCAGTGTGTGTATGTAATGCAGTGTGTGTGCAGTGTAGTGTGTGCAGTGTGTGTCTAATGCAGTATGTGTGCAGTGTGTGTTTGTGGTGTGTGTGTAGTGTGTCTGTGTAGTGTGTGTATGTAATGCAGTGTGTGTGCCTGTGTAGTGTGTATGTAATGCAGTGTGTGTGTATGTAATGCAGTATGTGTGCAGTGTGTGTTTGTGTAGTGTGTGTGTTTGTGTAGTGATGTAATTTGTGTAATTTTTTATTTTAATATTTTTTTAATATTTAAATGTTTTTTTTGTTTAGTCCCCCCCCAGTGTGTGTTTGTGTAGTGTGTATGTAATGCAGTATGTGTGCAGTGTGTGTGTGTGTGTAGTGATGTAATTTGTGTAATTTTTTATTTTAATATTTTTTTTAATATTGAAATGTTTTTTTTATTTTTTGTTTAGTCCCCCTTCCCTGCTTCTTACCAGGGAGGGGGATATAGTATCCCCTGGTGGTCCAGTGGCTTGTTAAGTACAGTGGTGGCTCAGCAGCAGCAAGCGCTGACTTACCTTGCAAGCAGCTCCTACAGCTCCCTGTGTAAATCTCGCGGCTCTTAGTGCCGCGCGGAGCGTTGCCATGGTAACCCGTGGCAACGCTCTGCGGCCGCGGGTCTCGCGAGATTTACACACAGAGCTGTAGGAGCTGCTTGCAAGGTAAGTCAGCGCTTGCTGCTGGCCCCCACAGGACCGCCGGGCTTGTAATGGGCCCGGCGGTCCTGTTATACATTATCGGCAATATCGGTATCTGAATTGGCCGATACCGATATTGCCGAAAATACCAAATATCGGCCGATAATATCGGCCAGACCGATAATCGGTCGATCCCTAATATATACACACACACACACAGCAGACTGTGTGTGTGTGTATATACTCAGCAGACTGTGTGTGTGTGTCTGTGTGTGTATATATATACTCAGCAGACTGTGTCTGTGTGTGTGTGTGTGTATGTGTATATACTCAGCAGACTGTGTGTGTGTACTCAGCAGTCTGTGTGTGAATGTGTTCAGCAGTCTGTGTATATGTATTGCATTTGTTGGAGATACTAATAAATATAAGCTTAATTTTATCTATTTATATCATTATTTAATGTATTTGTATCATTAAACTCTTTGTTGTGGTTTTCTTTTAAAACAAAGTTGTTAATTAGTTTGAACAACTGTATGAGTTGTTTTTTTTAAACATAAAACTTAGTATTCAGGTTTATTTGCCGTGTTGGCACTTTGAAGAAAAAAAAAGTTGGCCTGTATTGCGGTTTGGGCACTCAAGCTCAAAAAGGTTCGCCATCACTGTTATAGGGCAATAAGTACAAGTATCACTTTGCTATTTAATATTTAAATTAACGCAAGTTACATTGTAACACTGATAACTGTCAGGAATCCCTGAATAACCCTTCACATGTATATATTTTTTTTTAAAAGAAGACAAACTAAGGTATTAAACTTTGGGTATTTTGACTCTTCATGCAACCATTTTACCACCAATCTATGCCAAATTTAAAAAAATAATAGAAAGTACTCATTCTTCTCCTTGACACAGGAAATGGAGCCAACTTAAGCTCCTCCTCTGTCAAAGTAAAGTGTAGGAAAATTACATAAAACAAAATAGTCCCCCATAATGGCTCTATTATCGACCATGAAATATGTAAGCTCAGGCATGCCTTTAACAGTGCTGTATCAGCACTGAATAGGTAAATTAAGATGTTTTGTACTGTCTGTCACCTTGACTTATATACAATTATGCCAAACACATTTATATTGTACGCCGGTTGTGTGGATACAAGTTATGAGTGAAAAACATGGCACAAGTTGCCATCTTAAAGGGACACTAAAATCCACATCTCCCTTTAAAGGAACACTTTAGCATAAGGAATACAAGGATGAATTGAATCAATGATTTTCTATGAGTCTTTGCTTGATGTCCTAATGCAAAGCGTGAGGGCATCCAACATCTTTTCACAGAGTTAAAACCATAAAAGATCAGGAAGCGCCTCTAGTCTCAGATGCAGTCTTAGCATTGCAATATAAACATTGCTGTTGCTCTAAAACCAGAATATCCGATGCTCCGTGTATGCTCATCAAGTCCTTCCAAGTGCTTTATGAGGGTACATTAAATTATTCATGCTGTGAGTGTGCCAGGGCAACAAGGAACGCATTGCAAGAAACACAGTGGATTTTCTTTTGTTTTTCAGTTGGAAAAACACATTTTACAGTCTGAAGCTAGAGTTGTGCAAAGATCCACGAGTTATGCAAATTCCTTCATATCAATGGAAGACTGGCAATACATGTCACGAAGGGGTATAAAAGAACAAACAAATAATAATCAAGCACTCCAGGAACACTTTAGTAAATATTAGATCAACATTGAAGATATTGGTACCATAAAAAAAAAAAAAAAAGGAAATCTCCCTACACACACACACACACACACACACACACACACACCAAAAATGTTGTGATTTGCCTGTTGTGATTAAGAAGCGGATTTATGAGAAATTAGATTTAAAGTACAAGAACAAAAAGCTCACAAGGTATTACAATTTGGCGGATTAATGATACTACAAGGATTAAAGAAAAGAAAGAAGAAAAAGTTACATTTTAAGTACATTACAAGTAGAAAACAGTCACCAACTTCAAGACTGTCCCTGGTTATCTCACTTGGCCAAATGCACATCCAATATATGTCCTTGTTGAAAAAGCCTGATAGTAGGTATATGAAGATAAGCAACACTTAACATATGGTCCCCATACCCGAATAGGTATCATTTTATTTGTCAGTGTAATGAAACCCCTGTACCATACGACCCTTTGATGTTTTTCTTTCATAAATGTATTGCAGATTAGGGAGGGTAGATAGACATGAGCAGTGTTACATAGAGATTTGTCAGCAAGTGCCAGAATTTTATGCACTGATGTGTGTTTTTGTTTGTTACTGTCAGAACAGTTTTAGGGTCTGTGATTGGGTGTTTTTAAGTAAACCGTGTATAGTATTTTGAAACGTATGTATTAAACTCTTTTGGCATGTGTTGTTAGTACCATACTTTGATTTGCTTGTTTGTCAGTTTCTAAATTGTCATCCTTAACATCTAAATAAAAGCATTATTTATAGTGTCTGACAAAGAGCTTGGATGTTTTCCAAACAAGCCATTGATCTTTAACTATCTTTGAACAACTGCAGTCAGCTGGCACCTTTTTCTGATCCTGCGGCTCCTTGTAGCAGTACACATTGCGTCTAACAGGATAGTCAATACCCACTTAAATGTTTTTTTTTCTCTCGCTTTACTATTTGGACATTTGTGTTCAATCCCTTAATGACTTTAGGGCATTCTATGCCATCCTACATAAAGTGGGCTTTAAAGCCTGTAGGGCGGCATAGAATACCCTGCATATTTGGTGTGTGCAGGGTTAAATCCCTGCTCACATCAGGGAACACCCAGGATCGGTGGATAACAGGGCTCCCCTATGCCTGCTGGAGGCATGTTTAGTGGCCCCAGACTGTTAAGTGAGTTGGTTGCAGAAGCCAGTTTTGCAAGGCGCTCTTTAAATAGGAATTTAAATTCCTATTAAAATATTGTGGTGTGAGCAGATTTAAATCCCTCCTCACACCACTAACCCTAGGTATCAATGGATACCTGGGGTTCCCCTTAAACTACAGGGAAAATATTGATGGGCAAAATAAAATTAAAAATAATGGCTCTAACAATTCGTGTCTCTGGGCCTATTTCAGTAATCACTCCAATCTTATCTACGTGGGTACTCTCCAATTTGCATGTTACAAAAAAACAAGAAATAGTACAAATAATAGTAATTCAGTATATATGTTTAACAAGATATAATATGTAAATTAGTGGATACTTATTTTTGTTAGAAAATTGGGCCCAGACTCAAACACATCCACACAACTGAGGGAATTAAAACACTCAAGGATCTGAGGGGGGACACAGAACACACTTTCCTGATGCACCTAAATACAAACAGATCCGGAGTAACATCACCTCACTCCCACAGGGACCGATACTACAACGGGCTACTACCTTCTTCGAGAACCTATGCCTGGACCCCAACCCACTAGCACATGGAGTGTCCGTACTATACACCTTACTACTAACACACCAATTGCACAACCACGATTCATGGGGAAGTGGGAGGCGGCACTAGGCCATACTTTTGACAAGGTGGAATGGGAGAAAATTTGCTGCTTTAGCAGGACACAGGAAACGGCATATAAATTACTGACGCACTGGTACTACACTCCCGCGACAATACATGCACGCATCCCATCCCACCCCCCCCAGTGTTGGAGGTGCGGGGAGGAAGGAGGCACGCTCCTGCACATCTGGTAGGAGTGCAAAAAGATAGCCCCGTACTGGAAAGATATACATCAGATACTGGGGAAGTTTACAGACGACCCCTTCCCACTTAGCCCAGCAGCAATGCTCTTACACCACACCAAGATCCCTAGAACAGCGTATAAGAAATCGCTCACAATCCGCATATTGAACACGGCTAAACTGATAATACCACAGTATTGGAAACAACAGGTTACCCCCTCCCCTGAAAGCCTGGTTCACACAAATGGAGGAACTGAGATCCCTAAAGGAACTCCATCACTCCGCTTACATTCCAAGCGTACCTCAACACTTGGACACATTGGATTCTGAAGACAACCGACCCAGACTTCACTAACATGATATCGACACCATCATGAATCTAGCCAAAAGACGCCACAAAACCAGAGAACACCAGCATACCAGTACTAAAGGGACAACTAAACACTAAAACAGACACGAGATGACCAGACACATAGATAATGAGTACACACAAACCATACAGGGACCTACAAAGGGGGGCAAAGACGAAAGATGCGGACCCGGGCTGTTACACGACCTTCCCTCATACATGCCTTCACAATAGTGGTATACATACACACGTTTCATTGAAAGAGAACGATGCAAGGGACCTGCGAGTCCAACGACAATGCGGGCCTGCGAGCCCAAATGAACATGCAAATTTTTTAAACTGACATAGGTTTAACGCAAATGGAGACTTGCAAGTCTTACTGTTAATTAAAATGGAAAAACAAATGAAAGATTATATTCACAAAAATATAATATGACAAGGGACCTGCGAGTCCATCCACAATGTGGGCCTGCGAGCCAAAATGTTGATCATTCACATTTTCTAAAGCCAATCCTCGCATTCGCTAAAACCTATTTTCTCACATGTTGTACACTTGTTATCGCACTGGATATGTTAATTGAGACCTGCGAGTCTCACTGTTCATTATTTCCCTATCTTTGCAAAACAAATAAAAATTATATTTACAAAAAAAAGAAAATTGGGAAAATCTGGTGATAGAAATTACCAAACCAACACACTGCAATTTTGTCAATCATGGTGTTAGACTGCTGCACCCCTGTTCAGCAGTAGTTTAAAGATGGCATTAAATGTTCAGACCAGGCAGGCGTCAATCACTCTGGGCACTTGGGTAGAATGGGATGACTGCTGCTGTTACATCTTTAAATTTTCCATTATAGCGAGGGGAAAATTACGCAAAAAGGCAGGCAGAATGTTCTGTTCATATTTCGCGTTGAGAGCTGGACAGGGCAGAGTGGCTGAAAGGCGGTATAGATATTTTGTGTATGTGAGAATATTTACTGTGTCTCTGAATGCTCTGAATATGGTTTCTAAACACCATTTCAGTTTTAGCTGTATGTATTTTATTGATGTCTCACCCTTTTCTTGTAGGTTCATTTTGTAGGAGACTATTTAAGTGAAAAAGTATTATAATCCATGGTAATGGTAGTTTTATTATGCGTCATTGATGATTCCTGTTCTTTGTAAATAAAAGTAAACACACATGTACAATAAAGCTTAATTAATTTTAAAGCGTTTAGGAAGCACACATTAAACACGCTGATTGTTTGCGTGCACTGACATACTCCTCCAATGGATGCGGAAAGGCAGCTTCCTTCTTCACACCAGGCTAGTGGGGGAGGAGGGCATACTGTGAATGTATTGGGTGCAAGGGAAAAGGAAGTCAGACAAAAAATCCAAATGGTGCAGCTCTGAAAGTAGACTCCAAAATAATTGTGCTACTGTGCCCTGGTAAAGCACTACTGTCCAAGACTTTTGCATGTTCTTGGGGCAGATTATGAGGTGCTAGTTTCAATTTGTCACCATTTTTTATTTAGTCAACCAGTGTAATCCTGCTTCTTCAAAGACCCTAGATTTGTATACTGCTGCATCCCCAACTATAGCAATACTGTATCCAGTCTGTGCCTCCTTAGCCCCTGGCTGGTTGAAGTTGATGGATCACATCGTGATCACTGGGAAAGGCAGCCCCAATGATTGCTTGTCTTGGGTCACCACCACAGAACTATATCTATGAATCATTATTCGTAAGGCATCAAGACATCCTCATAAAGATACATTAACTCAGCGCATCTCTATGGTGTGCATTTGGTGTCTTCATGCAGTTTGTCCAGAGGCAGGACTTTACATTGCTATGAATGCAGAGGCCGCCTATGTTCAAGAACAACGGTCACCTCAAAAGTGTTTTTTTAATATTATAATCCTTTCATCAAGTTTTGAAAGGAAATGTATTTATTTTAAATGTAGGTTATGTGTAAAATAAAAGAGCAAATCTCATCCCTTTCTTTAGTAATTGACAGGATCCTTCAACCATATATGTGCCCCCTGGGTTGGACAGTATTTGAAAACTGGAAGAAAATAAATATCCATGCACACCTAAGGTTTCTTCTAAAAGGCAGTCTTTTTATTTGAAAAAAAGAAAGTAGAGAACGTTTCGACTCCTCTCTGAGCATTTATTAAGTCTCAGGTGTGCCTGGATGTTTCTTCCATTTGATGTCTCGAGTGATTGCCCCTTCCTTTCTGGAGCACCCTGCAGGAAGTATCCCCCCCTTTTTAGTATGTGCATTATACGTTTGTTTTTTTCGATAATCCGTATTTGAAAACTGATTCTCAATAGTCTTTCTTCTGTTCGGACCACAGGGGCTGTCAGTTTTTACCCTGCAGGACCCAAAGTGCATATATGTGGATAACCTACTAATGGTAGGGATGAACTTTTCTCATTTATTTTACATATACTACATTTAACATTTCCTTTAAAACTTGAGAAAAGGTTATATAGAGATATATATTTTATCCTTATTTACGCAAGATCCCGCACACTCACGTATCCACTAAACAGCAACTTCAATGCTGACAGATTTAATGGTGTGTGTGTGTTTTAATTACCCACACAAATACATATGCAAGATGCTTGCAACATGTTTGATTTTAATGCTGTTTTAAGAAAGTTTTTTTTTTTTTTCTCTCTTTTGTTGTTATGACCTTGTACTTATCCTGCTGTAGAACAAGATCCTTAGAGATTACAGTCACTATCTCAGGAGCACCAAAATATCATGACAGAGCAGAACATTATCAGCTGGTAGATGCAAGCCTGGGCTGTTGACATGCAAATGTTTCAGCTGACAGCGAAGAATACAGATGTATGACGAAGAAAAACTAAAAATGTTCTATTGTTAAAAAAAAAATACATATTTTCCCTTGTATATACAAGTTATAGTAAATATTACCCTTAAAACATCTGGAGACGTGGCACATTTAAAAAACAAAAACAAACAGATAAATATGACAAAATTTACACTTTGAGGAGGGGATAAAACCACTGTAGGGTTTTTAAAATTTTAATTAAAGGACCACTATAGGCACCCAGACCACTTCAGCTTAATTAAGTTGTCTGGGTGCCAGGTCCTTCTAGGGTTAACCCCCCCCTTTTTTTTTTTTATAAACAGCAGTTTCAGAGAAACTGCTATGTTTATAAATAGGTTAATCCAGCCTCCAAATCCTCTAGTGGCTGTCTCATTGACAGCCGCTAGAGGCGTTTGCGTGCTTCTCACGGTGAAAAATCACATGCAGCTGAAGAGGAGGAGAGCTCCCCTCCTGGCGCTGGAGAAAGTTAAGAGAAAGGTAAGATTTTAACCTCTTCCTCTCCCCAGAGCCCGGCAGGAGGGGGTCCCTGAGGGTGGGGGCACCATAGTGCCAGGAAAACGAGTATGTTTTCCTGGCACTATAGTGGTCCTTTAAAGTGTATGTGGGGGTGATTACGGATTAACACTGCTTCTACGTATCTCAAGCTGTATTTGAAGAAACACTATAGAGTCAGGAACACAAATGGGTATTCTTGACCCTATAGTGTTAAAAACAAAAACCATGTTAGATGGCAAACCCTCTTGTCCCCCTTAAATAAGTATAAAACTTTTTTCCCCCAAAGGCCGGGCTGGTCAGCCGGTGCTGGCTCCATCCCTGCTCCACCTCCCTGGCTGAAATCATCAGAATTGTAGATTTTATCCAATCTGAATGACTGCTAATCGAGGTGTACCTAGGCAGCCTTTACATTGAAAAGCCTGTTGTGACAGGCTATAGACACCAGAAGCACCATATTAAGTTCTAGGTGTTCTGGTGACTATATAGTGTCCCTTTAACTGAAGATGAAGCCTTCCTTGGCATTAACTCTCCATCCAGTGTTAAACCATGTTTGAGCAGTTTAACACCGAATGAGTGTCCCTGGCTTTCCATAACCCTGCCCCCACGGCTAAGGTAGATATTAAACACTTCTGTGTGGGCATACCAATTTATACCTGGAATGACAATGTGACTGACTTGACCACATTTACTCTATCACAGCCACCCGCTGCTCGGGCTAAATCTTCCTCCTAAACATGCATTTTTTGCTTGACGATAAAACCTTCAAAACCGTTTTTAATGTTGAATGGAAGGACTGCGCCAGAGGACTCCAGACACTATAACCACTTCAATGAGGCAAAGCAGTTATGGTGCCTAAAGTGTCCTTTTAACCCCTTAAGGACAAAACTTCTGGAATAAAAGGGAATCATGACATGTCACACATGTCAGGTGTCCTTAAGGGGTTAAAGCCAAAATAGCTGAAATGGGAGCATAGCTGACTTGGAGAATTTTTCTTGCTCAGCTATTTTGCCCTAAATTTGAAATTCACTTTGGAATTTCTTAGAAATCCTGACACTTCTCACTTCAGTGATTTTAAGCCTGTGAGCATAGATTGTCTTGTGCTCATGGCACCTTTCATTTTGCAAAGGGAAATCAAACGCTAAAGATGGTTTGTTTGTGAAACGTTTCAGCTTTTTTGTACACTTGGGTCATTTTTTGTAACAAGTCTTGATAAAGACATTTAATTGAACTTTGAACTGTTGTGTTTGGAGAATGTGTTTGAATATATTTTGTGAATCCTGTTTACTTGATGTGTAAAGTATTCTAGTAGAATACTTTTCCCAGGTTTCTTAGCTGGGTTTTCTTACATTCATAATCCTGTTTAAAGGAGATCTATTCTGCATAATAGTCTTTCAGTTTCAAGATTAATTGGAGAATGTTGTGCCATTGCCTTGTGTAAGAAATATTTTAGTTAGGTGACATAGTACATTTTAAGAGCCTACTTTAAAAAATAAATACTCTAGGCACCATAACAACTTAAAAAAAATTTCAAAAAAAATTCTATACATGAATTTATTTAACTGGGTTTACACCAGATATTTGAAATTGCAGGTTTTAGTTTTTTTATCATTAAATCTAATCTGCCAGTTATAAGGCATACTGTAGGCACTATAACAATTTTATTGACTTGATTATAGTTACAGGAGATCCCTGGCACTGTCCCTTCATCCAATGCTAAACTGTTTTCAAGCAGTTTATCTCTAAGTAAAGGCTTCTAGATATACCAGTAATTAGAGCTGAAAGCGATCAACTGGCACTTCCAGCCAATCACAGCCTTCCATTCTTACACAGGCTAATGCTTCCTCATTAGCCCAAGCAGCACAGTGGGGTTGGGCTGCTGGGACTCTTGTTTAGTATTAAAACTTTAAAAATGGTTGAACGCTGAATTGTTGGAGAAACTCCAGACACTAAACCAATTCAGTGACATGGAGCAGTTAGTGACTACAGTGTCCCTTTAAATTTGATGTTATAGGTGAATGATGTTTCATGATGAGCTTAAAATGAATGACTAGGTTGTGAGACTGGGATGACCTAAAGTGAACAAGGTCACATTTTGCTGGAAAAACAGATTCTGGAAAGATAATTGTGTGTCATGGATGATATTTCTTGTAAGAAATGGTAATGATGGAGTGGCCAAAATCTACTTTATAGATCTTTAGAGTGCAAAATCTTTACTGGTTTATTTTCCGCTGTAGATCACACAAAAACGTACGATATGATCTTCCGAAGACCTGCATCTAGCCTATGTTTGCACTTATATCGCTCACCTTCAAGACTTCCTGCTCCATAAGACTCCCACCCAGTCGCCGTTCCTTCATAAAAATAAATAAATAAATGAAACCTTTTCTTTTGGAAAGCGTATCAATTAAACTGTTCATAGCTTTTCTTTCTTACCTCAACTTGGTAACCCATCTTGCTTCCTCTCCTTCAAATGTGTCATCAAAAAAACTAGATCTTCATTGTAAGCGATTCTAGCAACTTACTTTTTAAATGAAATATATCCTACCCTTACTGTGGTGTAAACTTTACTCCACACCCTCTAGAATGTAAGCTTGCTTGAGCAGGGCCCTCAACACACTGTTTTTGTGCGTCCAACTCGTCTTGTTACAAATACTTGTCTGTTAGTCGAATCATTGTACCGTGTTCAGACAGTGAACAGTTGTATGCTTGGCTAGTAGTAAAGTTTTCTTAAATTCTTTATTTTTAAATTACTTAGCAACAACAGACAATTTAAAGTCGCCTGTCATTAATATTGTAATGTAGATGTACCATTGATAATTACAAATAAAAATAAATTACAATACATAAGTAAAACATTTATATCATCCAGTTATACTAAATAGAAGGCAGATATTTTTCTAAGAGGTATATATTATATCAAAAATTCATCAATACAATATTTTTCTTTTCCTCCTTTTCCGAATTACCTTAGTTTCTGAAATAATTTATATGGTTGTATTTTCTACAAGTGAGCAGATTTGATTATTTTGTTTTTCCATAGGGACCAACTTTTATTGTATTCAATTATATTATTTTTTCCATAACCACTTGGTATTCCATTTGGGTGTACCAGTATTTAAACGCTAGAAGAATATGAATAACTACATTTTTACAGATAATGGGTATGTCTTTTAATCCTATATGGAGGAGTGCTAATGCTAAATCTGATTAAGTTGTATTTGCTACCATAGATGATATTAAGAAGATCCTATTCCATTTTTTTTTTTTTTTTTTTACATTTCCACCATATGTGGGTATAGAAGCCCATATCCTCATATCTCCAACATTGGATTCCCATTGATGGTATTTCTTATTCAATTTTGAGGGATCCAGTACTAACATACATTTCTTTATTTTTGTTGCGCATGATATAACAAACGAGCATGCGTCGCCACAACAGCGAGGGCACACATAATATAATCACATATCACGACAAAGTATGACTATCATATAGCTATGCATTTTTTATGTTTGTTATGTACAGATGTGTGGATTCTAGTGCGTGATGGGCCCCAACAATAAAGTCTGTGTGTCTAGAGCGTGTGTTACAGATTAGGCAGGACTATAAATTGTTAAGCTATATTGTGAGTTGTTAAGCTAGGCCATATGCATCTCTTTTCTCCGCTAGGTACTTGTGAATCTATTTTGGCTAGCAATGTATTGACTTGGCTGTCAAATGTTAACAGTCTGTCTTCATATTCGCTGTATGTGTCGTCACGCATACGCTTAGGGCAGAGATTTTAGCATGTTGGGTAACATTCGTAACGTGTTATAGCAGCTGAGCTGTATTGCCGCTTTCTTGTGTAATAATAAGGTATAGATTAAAGAAAAGTAAAGTAACTGAGAGGCAGTGGAAACATATAGCTGTCAATTGCTACCGGGCGCTAGGAAGCCTTCATGTGGTGGCTGCAGCATAGGGGCCCCGTCTGGGTTGTCTCGGTACAAAGCCTGTCAAATTTTCTGGGTCCCATCTGTGCAGTGGTCCGGCGGAATCTGGAGGTGTTGTGTGCTGCATAGCATCCCTGCAGATCATAGACTTTGTGTTTGTCTTCACCCCTCGTGATGAGTATGGTGTGGTTGAGACGCCATTTTTTTGGTATACCGTGGTGTCTGAGGAGCGAGGTAAACGGCTTGAGGGACCTCCTCCAGGCAAGAGTGCCCCCAGATAGACCCGCAAAAAAGGAAAGTGCCATCGCTTCAAATGTGTATGGGGTGCAGTCTTTGACCGCTGCTATAATTGCTGCTTATCCTTCACTTGTTAAAAACGGATTATGAGGTCTAGGGTGGCTCCTGTTGGAGCTTTGGGGCCCTGAGGACACCGTCTAGACTGATGGCCTTAGCCTGCCGCAGCGATAACAGCGCCGCCAGGAGCCTTCACATAAGGTGCGACAGTTCGGCTGTCGGAATGTTGTCTGATACACCCCTCACTTTCAGATTATTCACCCAAAGTGTGTCTTCCAGGGAGCCGAATCTCCAGTTAAATTCTTCATTTTGGCTCTGTGGGCACTTGATCTCCTGAGGTAATGTGGGTAGTGTTGGTCGCGGAGTTGTTTTCCAGGGTGCTCAGCCTTCCTGTCAGCCCTTGTATATCCGTGCGGAGGTTAGCCATGTCCGACTGGATTGTGGTTTGGAGGTCTGCCAGAAGTTTCTTGAGCGGCGCAGTAGTCACTGGTGCTGTATCAGGGCTTGGGGGTTTGTATGCTGCTGCTGCCATCATACTGGGTAAGTCGGGTGTGACCTCTCCCAGTGAGAAGTCATCCGATAGTTTGGAGTATGTGTCTGGGTAGTCGGCCATCTTGGGCCTAGTTGCTCCATGAGCCTGTCTCCAGATGGCTCCAATATCTAAGCCTTGACTGGGCTGGTCCAGTTTCTGCTTTAATCTTTTGACCCATGCTGGTTCCCCGACTACATCTTGGTGTTTGCAGCTGTTATGGTCGGTTTTCATGGCCTGAATAGGGTGTTAATTGAGTTTATTCTTAGGAGCTCCAGTGAGATGCGACCGCTAAGCTCTGCTGCTAGGCTCCGCCCCTCCTACTATCTGCATATTAGTTTGTGAAATACTTCCTAAAGATTTACATTCTGAACTGTAGATTTAATGAAGTTAATCCGGTAACAGATTTTCTCATGATGGGTGCAATATTTCAACTATACATTTGCTGGAAAGGCTCTGGAAAGAATAAACTTCATTTAGTGGAAAGAAACCTGGTGAAATAACTGTAAAGGGCTGGTCCACGATAACATCTGGGGGGAAAGTCTAGGGGACTGAAGAGTAAAGCTCCATATATTCTGAATTGTAACACTTATTAAAGAACGCATGCTGCAGAAGTAGGTCAGGAATATTGTCTCCACCCACTGACAGACACCAGGCACTCACACCGTCTTATATAACCTGTACTGCTGCCATGATGAATGGGTTTTATTTGTCTGCAGTCATCCGTACTTATTTTAAAATATTACAGGACAAAAGGGGGGGTGGGGAAAAAAGCCCATACCGTTCAGGGTAGCACCGGTAAGAGGTTAAAGAACACGTATTTTCTAGTGTAACAAGCCAGGAAATCACACTAGAGCCATGCTTTGCCCCTGCACTGCTTCTAGATATCAGACTTCTTTATATCAAGTAATGTTAACAGGTGTTTCCACATAAATTATTAAAATCAATTATTAGTGAGGTCAGGAAAAAAGTAACTGTGGAAAAGTAGTGGAATCACAATGTGATGTAACTTGGATTAGAGAGAACAGTTGGCATAACGTTGTGGATAGCTCGTAAGTGATAACATGATATTAAATTGCAACTTAAAGGGATACTCCAATAACCAAAAGAACTTCAGTTTAATGAAGCAGTCTTGGTGCATAGATCATGCCCCTGCAGTCTAACTGCTCAATTTTCTGCCATGGAGGAGTTAAATAGCTTTTGTTTCTGTTTGTGCACTCAGAGCCACTCCTCCCTGGCTATGAGTCACACAGCCAACATGAACAATTGGTACACTTTTCAGTCAGATATGACAACACAGTGTGTTTACCTTATAAGTTTTACAATCCTGCTCTCTAAAAAAAAAATTTTTTTAAATTACACACTAAGCGCCAGTAGACTTCATAGAACACGAGGCAAGAAATTAAAAAAACAAAAACAAAAAAACAGACTACGCAAGGAAGAGCTACAGGAAATTGATAGAGAGATCACATGCAGGGGATGTGTGACAGTTATTTAACTCTTCAAAGGCAGATAATTGATTAGTTGGACTGCAGGGGGATGCTCAATACACCATAACCACTCCCATTAAGCTTAAGTTGGTTTGGTGCTTTTAATTAGCTGTTTAATGTACACAATAGCCCAGACTAAGGCTTGACAAACAGAATAAAGTCAAGCCATGTGCAAATGATTTTTGTCTCATCCACCTCCTGATCTGCAATTATACTGTAACAAGTCAAAATCCATGTACAATCTACAGTCCCACTATGTACACTTAACATGGAGCTTTTCACTGGATAATACATAGAACATTACTTAACCACAAAACAATCTATTATTTTTTTTTATTATTTATTTTTTTTTAAAAAGGAGGATCCTGCTTTGACACAGCATTTCAAAAACGGGCTATATATTGATTTCAGTTTGTTTTGACACATGAAGGAAACCATTTTATCTCCCTCCTTAACAAAAGCCAAGTAGCTAGAAGATGCCTGGTAAAGGTGCTGAAAGAAGAGTTTAGAGTGGATACGGTGAGGAGTAGGAGGTAGTACGCAATTTGTGCAAAAGGATATCTGAGTCATGTTAGTATGTGCCAAGCTATTTTCAATCAAACCTAATAATTTGAGAGAATTGGGAAAGCTTAAAATAAAAAATAATAATAGAACAAGATCAACTTTCGTGACATATGTGGTTTATACTAGTTTCACTTACTGCTACAGCAACTTGACAGACAACAAATCACATATCACCAGACAACACAGGGTACAGCTGGTGCAATTAATGACCTTTGTAATGAGATACCAGCATTCAAGCTAATGAAAAAGTGATAGAAGATATGACCAAGTTTCGCTAAAAACTAAAATTATATTTACTTTCAAGGTCATTTGACAGAAAAACAACATTGTACAGCACAGCAGGGGGAAAGGGGGGAGAGAGAGAGAGAGAAAGAGAGAGAGAGAGAAAACACTGCAGTAGGCTGTAGAGATTATAGTCTGCCTATTCTGGTTCACAGGTCACTGCACCGTGGCACACTTTTGGGAAGCTTGAGGTGAAAGCCAATGCTGGGCTTATCCTAGAAGCAATGCTTTATGGGCACAAAAATGATTTCAGGGGATTGTAGCTCAAGTTTGCTGCTTGCGTGGGTATCTTTAGTTTAATTGACACGTCCGATAATCAACATTCTGCTCTAATAAACAGGAGGGGGAAAAAAAAAATCTCAAATGTATTATGCATTGTCAGAAAGGGACAATACATTATAGTAAAAACCAAAAACATGCATTAAACAGTGGCAGGCAAGTAGCATTTAAAAAAAAAAAAAAAAATTGTATTTGGCCATAGTTCTAACAGTAAAATCCACACGCCAAGCAAGCTGGACGCATTTCAAGCCTGGAAAATGCCTTTTTAACAACTGTTGACTACTGTGACTTTAACTAAAAAAAAAAAAAAAAATGCTAGTAAGCACTTGATATTTCCTATTTAATACACAGAAGAAAACATTTTATTTTAGCCATTAAACGGACTGAAAAATAAAAGCATTATAATTGACACTATAGGCTGGAAAAAGCACTTACGCCAAAAAAAAATTAAATTAAAAAAAAACAAAAAAATATCAGAAAATATTTCAGATGGTGTCACAGATATCGAATTGGAGCAGCATGGTGTTTTGACGCGCATGCGCTCTAGCCTCCCAATGCTTTTCTATTCAAAAGCAATGGTTTGACTGAGATCATCAAGACTGATTATCTCAGCCAAGAACGCAGAACTTGCACAGGGAGTCCTGCACGATGCAAGATATAAAGTAAGAGTAGATCTACTTTTAAATCCTCACAGAGAAGGCGTGAGCCACCTATAGGTAGAAGGACACTACAGTGTATGAGACATACATGTTTGTATTCCTAATGCTGTTGTGTTGCCTTAAGAAAAACACGTAATCCTTTAAGAATAATGCTATATTTGCTTTTTGTCCAACACCGCACGGCTCACTTGCCAATAGCTGACATTTGCAGAAAGAAGCTTCTTAACAGCCATTTAACAGGGAGCAAAATAAAGGTTAGATTCATCAAAAAAAAATAAAAAATATTTTAAAGCTTTTGGACGATTTCAAGTACTGACTGGTCAAAAAGGATCGTGTTACATAACCATGAACAAGTAAATATAGATAGTCATAACTGAGAAATGTTTTTTACGAGTCCTTTATTTTCTGGTGTTTCTCACCTTTTTAGTGACTTAAAGGGACACTGTAGGCACCCAGACCACTTCAGCTAATGGTATAAGTGGTTTGGGTGCTGTGACCCTTTTGCACTTAGTGTGTTTACATTGCAGCTCTATGTCTGCCCTCTGTGGCTGTCTAACAGACAGTCACTAGAGGGTTCCCGGAATCCAAACCGACCGTTGGTCGGTTATCTCTCGCTGCATGTCCTCAAGTACCTCCGGTGTCAGATTTTCCGCATAGGAAAGCATTGAATAATGCTTTCCTATGGGGTGGTCTAAAGCGCACGGGGCCATTGCAGTGCATGTGCATTAGGTCTCCCCCGCTGGCTGACGGCAGGGGAGGAGCATGGACAGAGCCTGATCTAGCGCAGAGGGACATCAGCCCTGGATTCAGGTAAGAGGTTAACCCCTCCAGCCCCGCGGGGGGGAACCTAATAACCCTATAATGCCAGGAAAACGTGAAGTGAATTCTCAATCTTTAGCGCTCTGTAATGAGTTTGTGAAGTTTATTCAGCCAACAAACAGGCACTGGTGTCTTTATCAAGGACTCCAGAGATGTTTTTTGCTCCCAGCGGTTACTGGGTGAATAATGAGGTTAAAGGAACACTATAGTCACCAGAACAACTACAGCTCAATGTAGTTGTTATGGTGAGTATAGTCTGCTTCTGCAGTAAACACAGTCTTTTCATAGAAAAGGCAGTGTTTACATAACAGCCTAAAGACACCTCCAGTAGCCACTCCTCAGATGACTACTAGAGATCATCAGAATTAACAATATTAGCCAATCCAATGGGAAAGCATTGTGATTGGCTGAGATCATAACTTCTCATGATTTTAGCCAACTAGACACATCAGTGGCAGAGCCAGTACCAGCAGACTGGAATAAAGGTAAGACAACTATATTTAGGAGAGGAAGGGACAGATAGTGTTTTTACCATGTGTGTGTTCCTGACCCTATACTGTTCATTTAAGCAAGAGGCTCACTTAGATCCACTGTGCCTCTGTCTTGCAGCAATATTACCAGCTCATAATGCCTGGGATGCAAGCTTTGCATTTCTCCATTACTACTATAAAGGCTCACTAAGACAAGTAAAAATACAACTAAATAGAAGGAGAGGAACCTTCCTGCACAACCAATCACTAACTGTTAGCAATTAGGTTAAAATTGAGGAAGTGACCATTCTTATTTTAAGCAGAACTCAACCTAGAGACACTTATGAAAGGTCAATAGTTAACAAAACGTAGTCTTTTCCTTATATTTATATATTTTGTTGTTTTGGGTTAAAAAAAAAAAAAGTTATCACTAGTTTATGCTTACGTGGCATAAAAATCATAATCAGTAAAGTGCCATGTAATGACACTATTGAAGGAATACCTGTGCATGAAAGTCCGAGACAACGCGAGCATGTGATGATTATTTTTATAGGAACATTGTACTCATGATAACTTCATCAAATTGAAGTTGTTATAGTGCAAACGTTCCGCATTTTAATAAGCTCCCAATTGTGATTTAAAAAAAATTATTCTGAAGGCTTGAGAGTGCAACGTCACGCCATGCCTCCACGCCCCCTGAATAGAATAGTTAGAAATTTCAATTTCTGGCTCTCATACCCAGGCATACCGTGACAACACATACGCACCGTGAAGTCAAGGTTTGTAATAGAGAATCATTGCATGCAATGATTTTCTAAGACAGTATCAATGATGGTGTGGTAATAAAGCCCGGGCATTGTACAACGTTAGGAGTAACTTTACATAAGCATGTATGTTTTAAACATGCAGAAAAATATGGGAATCATGATACAAAACATTAATGTAATGTAAATGATTGGGGCAGTGGTGTGGGAGGCAAAAATATATGGGGTGGAGTCTTCCGGAGCAGAGCAAATTACTCGAGAGTAGAAAGAAGGATGGACTATCAAATTATTATAATGCCTCTAGTAACTAACAGACCTCCAAAAGGAGTTGCACAGGAATGTTGGGGAGGACATGAGTAAGATAACATCTCCTAAAGCGATTCTGCATATCATTTACCTTTATTTAAAAAAAAAAAAAGTTTTTAAATGCTGTTATACCTTAACATGACCTGACTTGATTAAATCACTGTAAAAACATCAGTTCCCAAGAAATAAATCTCTTCTCATAACACATACTTTATGCATTAAAAAAAAAAAAATTAAAAAGTCAGTTTGTCATATTATAACCACAATACATATGCTTTAGAGAGACAATATTTTCATTGTTTTAAAAAAAAAAAAAAGATCCACAGGATGTACCTGGTGTACCTATTCAGTAGTTTTCACGAGGCATGTAGTCAACATTCTACAAATTACAGTCCCTGTCATAAACATTCTAAACAATTTTCAAATTCGGCACATGAAACGCATAGGGTTATTTACAAAAACTGAGAATTGGCAAGAGAATTGTACCATTTAGGTCAGACTTGCAGAGCTAAGGAGTTTTCCTACTTGTTAGTTTGTCTAAGATTTTGCAATACCCTTGTTAAATTTGCACAATCATGGTTTTAAAAAATAATCTCCTTAAAAGCAGTTTTGCAATGTTCTGAGGCCTCTGCAAACTTTCCAAAGGCTTCTGATGGCAACTTCACTGCTTGGTTGCCACAGTGTGCAAGAGTACAGCTCTGAAGTCTAAGGAGGATCCTGTGTGGTCTTCCATAGAGATTGCCCAGCGATGAGATAATGACAAAACTTGACAGAAGCTTCAACTTTGGTAAAGCGGATGAAAAATACATAAGGCAAGATAGTCCCTACTTTGCATTATATATATATATATTTTAGGAGAAATAGATTTAAAAAGAAGAAAAAGATTAGGAGCAAAATAGAAGAGGAACGGATTGAAGTAAATTTAGTTGGGTGACAGAACCCACTTAAACTTTAGAGAAACACTACAACATACTGTATTGGTTAAGATGCTAGGAGATTATATATATACACACACACACACACACATATATATATATATATATACACATACACACTTATTTTTGTAAACAAAGTAGGGAGTATATAACATTGCTTATAAAAATCTAGTTCAGCAATCCCTAGGGGGTAGGTGTGAGTTGTTCAAAAACAAATCAAAGGATGTGAGGAGCCAAGCATCAGGATTATATATTACAAGCCAAAATCCCCAGTGGGGTACTACAGCTTAATCCTCTAGTAAACTTTCATTATGTGCAGTAAGGCCTTTGTGACATGACATGGTGAGCATCCTGGCTGTAATATATTAATCAACACACTGACATGTACGGAGGAGAGGCAAGCTACCTACAGTACTCCAGATGTTGTGGACTATTTCTTTGGCACTCATTCAGTGTTAAAACATTTTTTTTTTTTTTTTTTAATGGCTTGACAATGGAGGGATAGCGCCAGGGGACTCTAGGTACTATAATAAATTTAATCAAATTATTATAATGCCTCTAGTCTCTGTTAAAGGAACACTGTAAGCACCAAAATAACTTTAGCGTAATCAAGTGGTTTTGGTGTACAGATCATACCCATGCAGTCTTACTGCTCAGTTCCATGCCATTTGTGGGCTAAATTAATTTGCTTATGCATCCCGAGCCAAATCAATTAAGTGGTCATGGTGTTTGGAGTTAAACTTTAATGCTACATGCTTACTTTCATATGTTTCCATGTGAGTTTTTAAACTTAAAGCGTAACTCCAGAACATTAAAGCTTGCTTAGGTGCTTTAAGTATGAAGAGTGTGTCCTAATTAAATCCATGCAGGTTTCCATTTGTGGGTATATCTACTAAATAGTGATTTTTAAAATGTGGGCATTGAAGAGATACTGTAAACCAGGTATTAGATGCTCCCAAATTGGGATACAATCAGTATATTGTTACTACACAAGCATATTTTACTTTGCTTTTTTTTTTTAACTCAATTTAATGGCAACATATCTTCATAGTCACACAAAAATTGCAGCCACCTTCATTTATATCACACAATGTCCCCCAGACTTTATTTTAGTGCTGTGGAATATGAATGCCAATATGAAAAGTGAAAGATATGAACATTGTACCAATCAGCACTGGCAGGAAAGACTACACCCAGTCTGAGGGCATAAAATCTCTGATATGTAGGAAAAAAAAAAAAAAATTAGATTCCAGCAACCCATGCTTATGTTGATCAAACAGGAGAACACGTTTTGCATCAAAATGAACCTCCACAGAATAGACTTGTTTTTAACATATGCTGAAAAGTAAAAGGAAAAAAAAAAACATGAAAAACATCTGGTACATTCAAGGCCAGAGCTGTCCAAAAGGATGCAGTCAACCCTTAAAAGGGTTACATAAATGTGTCCTCAATCCATAAAAGGTGATTTTATGTGTATTCCGCTGCGAAGCCTGAATGGGATAGGGTAAAACATTATTAAAAGCCCTAAAGTGATTTCAAACTATAAAAGCAAAATATCCAAAATGTTGTCAGTTTAGTTTGTCCTAAAACGTTACATTCACCATAAATTCCTGTCAATTCACACTATAGTGAACACAGAAGTTTGCTCATTTATACACGTACCTCTCATTTAGTTCCCTACCTGTGCTTACAGCATTAGAAAGAGTTCTCTGGTTGATAATGATTCATTTTTATCTTGATAAAGGTTTAGATTTAATTTCTATAAATATATTATTTAACCCCTTAAGGACACAACTTCAGAAATAAAAGGGAATCATGACGGAATATTTCCGTCGTGTGTCCATAAAGGGGTTTACAAACTTTTAGCTTGTTTCTTAAATAGAAATTAACATTATGATTGCTGCTTTTTCAGTAATTAATCTCATTAAAATATCAGAATTTTAAAAATCCATGATTGCACATCCTAATGTTAGTAAGTAACCCTACTTCTTGTCACCATTTCTAAAACACTGGCACAACAAGTCTAATTTTCCTGTTCTACATTCTCAACCAAAGTAATATTACTTTGGTGATAAGCTGTATCTGCACAAGGTACTATGTACAGTTTATGTGCACAGAATTTGGGCTGATTAGAAAACCAAAACCAACGTACTGATAAACGTAAAGTATGGGCAAAAACCGATGGCTAGTTTAAAGGAACACCAAGTGTTGGCAATACAAACCTGTATTACTAATGCTTTAGAGTCGCCGTCACTAGTTATAGAGGTCTCCCTTAAAGGGGACACTGTAGGCACCCAAACCACTTCAGCCCGTTGAAGTGGTCTGGGTGCCAACTCCCATCACCCTTAACCCCATCTCTGATGCTCACCGTCAAGATTTCTCAAGGGCTGCACCGTTCCTGTGGAACTCGCTTCCCTCCTCCGTTAGATGCTCACCCAGTCTCCACTCCTTCAAAAAAATTCGTTAAAAACCCACTTCTTCATAAAAGCGTATCATTTAAACTGTTAATAGCTCACGACCGATTCCTCTTCTGCAACTGTCACTGGTCTAATACTATCCTTACCTTGTCATTTTACCCCACTCCCTCTAGCATGTAAGCTCATTGAGCAGGGCCCTCTGTTCCTGTGTGTCCAACTTGTCTGGTTACAACTACATGTCTGTTCGTGCACCTATTGTAAAGCTCTGCGGAATTTGATGGCTCTCTATAAATATCATAATAATAACAATAATAACCCTGCTAGTGTAATTATTGCAATTTTTATAAACTGCAATAACTACAATTGCAGGGTTAAGTCCTCCTCTAGTGGCTGTCTACCAGACAGCCACTAGAGGGACTTCTGTTGTCTAAACGATGCTGGACTTCCTCGCGCTATGCATGAGGATTTCCAGTGTCACTGGAATCTCCATAGGAAAGCACTGAATAATGTTTTCCTATGGGGAGGTCTAATGTGCATTCGGCCATTGCCGCGCATGCACATCAGGTCTCCCCGCCGACGGGCCCTTACAAAGCGCCATGGGACATCGGCATTGGATTCAGGTAAGTGTCTTAAGGGGTTTGTTTTCCTGGCACTAGAGAATCCCTTTAAACTAATGGGGTAGGCGTGGTATTGTCCGGTATAGTCCAATCCAATGCTCCTCATAGCGGAGCACTGGAGACCTGATGAGTAAGTGCAACAATAGCCGCAAGCGCATCCAAGCTTCCGCATAAGAAATCATTGCTTTCCTATGGGGTTGCAACATTACTTGACCATGTTTTACTAGTTTCTTGAAGCGTAAACGCCTCCAGTGGCGGTCTATGTAACAACCTCTGGAGGTGTCCTTATAGACACCCAGACCACTTTAGCGCATTGAAGTGGGTGCAGTGTCAAAGCACACAACACTGCAAAGTTAATTATGGCAGGTTTTTTTTTTTTTTTAAACTGCAATAATTACCTTTATAGGTTAACTCCACTTCTAGTTTCCATTTAACCCTTCAAAGTAAACATTGCCATTTCTACAAAACAGCAAACATTTTACTATGAATGGTTAAAAGGACAAGACCACGGCCCCCAGGCCTGGGTGACTTTAACGGTCCTTTAATACACTCTTAGAAACTGTAGAAGAGACAGCCATCGCCAACTTATTTTAGTCCATCAATCGATGAGACATATATAGATCCATGGTACACATCTAAATCAACCAGGGATAAATCGGTTTAAGAAAAATATTTGACAGTATATATTATAGGTTACTTTATAGGTCACGCCGATACTATAGACAAAAATGTAAATGGTAAGTCTAAACACCATTCATTCTACTGCATGTTGCAGTGGTTATGGAGCCAATATTTCCCTAGTGTCTGCCCACAGACCGAAGTGAAACTTTTCTTTTGGTTAGATGTTTAACACTGGTGCTCAAGTTGCCATGCTAAAGTTTCTGCCAATTGCTTCATTTTTACAACGGCACCAGAATTGCTCCTTAAAAATTGTAATAATGCCCAAAATGATTAAAAAAAAACAAAAACATGTTTGGGGTGTTTTTTTTGCACCCCAAGGACAAGCTCCTACAAAAAAAAAAAAAAAAAAAATTCTCTTTTGTGCAGTATTTTAGAGTACTTTATTCTGAGTATAGCAACTCACTATTTACAAACAATGTTTCAATGCTGATAAAATGTTGCAAAAAACCAAGCAGCAAAAACTGAACCACTCACAAAGAGCACAGTTCTATTTAATTCCTTGCTATATCCTCTACAGTTAACCCTTTCCCTTCCACAGTATTACCTTATACTGTTGACTTTTTTCTTTGCTTTCATTACACTAAATTACAACACCAATAAACTTATTTTTTTAACGTTTGGTGTCTGGAGTGCCCAGATGAACATTATATCTTACCTTAAGTGCACTGGGAAACACTCCCCACCGCCACAACTAGAGACCTGGAAGCTCCTAAGCAGGAATGTCCATTAGCTATTTTGTGCCAAGTCTGCTCATTTGCTAGGAGTGTAAGCAGATTGCTCTCAGCCAATGAGTTATACCCTGCACTGCTGGGCTTAGGCAGAGAGCTTCCCGCTCTCCTTCTAAAGTAACGGAGGCAAGGAGTGGCAGTCATTCTAAAACGGTGACTACTTACAGGAGGGGGAATCTGGCTATGGTGCTTGCAGTATTGCTCTCTCGGTTGCCAGTTTTTGCTCCAAAATGTACCTCTCCTGTACAGCCAGTAGGCACCCATTTACATTCTCACCCCCAAATATAAAACCTAAAATAAAAAAATAAATTAAAAAAATGCAATTAAATTGACTTAAATGATTGAGTAATGAATTATTACCATGCACCCATAACCTCCATTATGGTGCATTAAGATAGGTTAATGCGCACACAATGGCCTAGTGGGCCCCTGTCTGAACCTGGAGCTCCAGCTCTGATGAAAAGATCTTCCTGTCATCACAGAGCGCCGGACCAGGACTGCAAAAGCCCACCAGAAAATGTGTTTGTGCCGTTAAATTTCTCCCCAGGAGGTAAGCTGGAGTGGAGCAACTAAAATATTTTAAAAAGACAGAGGGTGGGGAGACTGTTTAACACAGCCTCCCCACTTACTGTCACTTCCATACACTTATCCGTACTAATTGTCACTCTCACTCATCCTGACGCAGTCACTCATTCCGCGACCTTGTCAACCTCACCACGCCACATACCCTACCACACTCATTCCCCTCCCCCAACACACCTAGCCACCCAAACACGATCACAGTCACCCTGTGAAACAGACTGACCATAAACACAACATACAAAAACCACAATCATGCCTCCTTACACACAATACAACTACCCTATACACATATGCAATGATGTTCTGACACATACACAGGTACATAATGCCAAAGGCACAGACATTGAACTCAGGAACTGTAGAACATAAAGGGTGGCTATCTGCAATGAATAATGGTTAAAGGGAAACTATAGGCATTCGGACTACTTCAGCTTATTGAAGTGGTTTGGGTGTGGTGTGCCTGACCCCTTTTGTCCAGCATTGTAAATCATTGCAGTTTTATAGAAACTGCAATGATTACATTGAAGGACTAAGACTGCATCTAGTGCCTGTCAAATAGTCACTAGAGGCACATCCTGCGTGAGGGGACTCTCCCCATAGGAAAGAATGCTTTACCATGAGGAGGGCCTAATTCACTGGCCACGCATGTGCATTAGCTACCCACCATCAGAGGTGGAACAGCACCAACCCAGCACTGAGGGATAGCAAGGCTGGAGTCAGGTAAGTGTTACAGGGGGGGTGGGGGGGGTTTAACCCTTGCCGAGACAAAGAGTGGGGGTGCGGAGGTAAGTACAATGTAAGTAATACAGATTTGTATTCCTTATAGAATCCCTTTAACTGAGACTACATGAAGGACTATTTGTAGCCATTTGCTGCATGTAAAGGGTTTCTATGTGGAATGTGATGTCCATAAAGTCATTGTAGAGAGACTGATATTACCATTCCAGGGATTAATAGTGAACATGTGATTTAATATGTAAAGTAGTGAGAAGTGGTGCTAAGAGTTGAAGGTGTCTATGCAACATGTTATGAAGCTGATGCACTGTATAGAAAATATCACAGTGGCTGGTATTTACAATGCTTGCTCCTGCCATAGGGAGTATGATATACTATAATAACAGATTAGCAATCATTTCATTATGGAGAAGTTTCCTGCTGAGCGAGCTGTAGCTGGGCTATGATGGCCTATTATCCCAGTGTAAGCCCTGGCCTAGAATGACCATCATTCCCCACTATATGCTGAATAAAGGCCAGTATGAGCCCTGCCCTCCCCGGACACACTGTATACACACAGTGATAATGGCAGCCTGCTGCTCCCATGGCCATGTATGTTCTTGTTGTGATGCTGACAGCCCCCCCCCCCCGCGTGCCAGCAGTGAGTCGGCACAGGTGTTCGGCACTCAGCCCGCACGGACACTGAGCGCTGGGTCACGTGGATCGCGACAGGCACGCGGCGGGTTAATAACATGATGCGGGGGGGGGGGAGAGAATGAGGTTAAAGCCACAGAAGGGTCACAGGTACAGAGAGCGCGCGGGCATCACGTCAGCGTGACTAACGGTCACCGGCACGAGACGCCGTTTGGTTTTTTTTTTTCCTTCTTCTATATTTAAATGGCAGGTGTGCGCGCATTCCATTTAACTCTGTCCCTGCCGGCAGAGAGTCACGGTGACAGCGTCCCACTCACACAGCCTGCAGGGACCGCCATGTCAGCGTCCGGCTTGTTTATCTGTCAAGCCATCCCTCCGAACCTCCAAAAAGCCTTACCTGGCCCGTTAACGTGATTCATATCCTGGATCTTCCTGGCAGAGAGTCGCGTCCGATTCCTCAACGATCCCAGCTCCGCCATCTTGGCTCTTGGTTTTGAAATTGGCTCCGCCCCCTGCCCGTGACGTCGCCGACCCAGTTCTCGGCAGCGGCCGCTGACAGCCGCGCATGCGCACTGAGCCCGGCGGGGCCGCTCTGCGCTAGCCAGTGAGCGCGGTGTGTGATGGTATGTGCTAAACATCGATCAGTCCTCGGACAGCTGAGCCACTCCGCCGGTTACTCACACCCTCTAGGGGTGAGATGGAGAGCACACGGGCCAACATGGCGCTGGCACTACCGACATGTCCTTATTGAAGGGCACATGTTAAAGGGACCCTCACACAGCCTCGGGGAGGCCGTGATCTTACTGTGTGATATGGGGGGCTGGGGGGGTTACACACAATCCAAGGGAAGCAGAGATAACTGAATAAACTCTCTCTCTTATTAATACCTTCTAATCCAAAGGAAAGGCAACATGGGGGTCACTGGTCCCCTAATGCTCTGTGTTTCCATAGACACGGATAATGCTGGGGGAAAGGCAACATGGGGGTCACTGGTCCCCTAATGCTCTGTGTTTCCATAGACACGGATAATGCTGGGGGAGGAAGGCAACATGGGAGTCACTGGTCCCCTAATGCTCTGTGTTTCCATAGACACGGATAATGCTGGGGGAAAGGCAACATAGGGGTCACTGGTCCCCTAATGCTCTGTGTTTCCATAGACACGGATAATGCTGGGGGAGGAAGGCAACATGGGAGTCACTGGTCCCCTAATGCTCTGTGTTTCCATAGACACGGATAATGCTGGGGGAAAGGCAACATGGGGGTCATTGGTCCCCTAATGCTCTGTGTTTCCATAGACATGGATAATGCTGGGGGGGGGATTCAACATGGGGGTCACTGGTCCCCTAATGCTCTGTGTTTCCATAGACATGGACAATGTTGGAGGGGGGCAATATGGGGGTCACTGATCCCCTAATGCTCTGTGTTTCCATAGACACGGATAATGCTGGGGAGGCAACATGGGGGTCACTGGTCCCCTAATGCTCTGTGTTTCCATAGACACGGATAATGCTGGGGGGGAATGGCAACATGGGGGTCACTGGTCCCCTAATGCTCTGTGTTTCCATAGACACGGATAATGCTGGGGGGGAATGGCAACATGGGGGTCACTGGTACCCTAATGCTCTGTGTTTCCATAGACACGGATAATGCTGGGGGAAAGGCAACATGGGGGTCACTGGTCCCCTAATGCTCTGTGTTTCCATAGACACGGATAATGGCGCTGGCACTACCGACATGTCCTTATTGAAGGGCACATGTTAAAGGGACCCTCACACAGCCTCGGGGAGGCCGTGATCTTACTGTGTGATATGGGGGGCTGGGGGGGTTACACACAATCCAAGGGAAGCAGAGATAACTGAATAAACTCTCTCTCTTATTAATACCTTCTAATCCAAAGGAAAGGCAACATGGGGGTCACTGGTCCCCTAATGCTCTGTGTTTCCATAGACACGGATAATGCTGGGGGAGGAAGGCAACATGGGAGTCACTGGTCCCCTAATGCTCTGTGTTTCCATAGACACGGATAATGCTGGGGGAAAGGCAACATAGGGGTCACTGGTCCCCTAATGCTCTGTGTTTCCATAGACACGGATAATGCTGGGGGAGGAAGGCAACATGGGAGTCACTGGTCCCCTAATGCTCTGTGTTTCCATAGACACGGATAATGCTGGGGGAAAGGCAACATGGGGGTCATTGGTCCCCTAATGCTCTGTGTTTCCATAGACATGGATAATGCTGGGGGGGGGATTCAACATGGGGGTCACTGGTCCCCTAATGCTCTGTGTTTCCATAGACATGGACAATGTTGGAGGGGGGCAATATGGGGGTCACTGATCCCCTAATGCTCTGTGTTTCCATAGACACGGATAATGCTGGGGGGGGGGAGGCAATATGGGGGTCACTGGTCCCCTAATGCTCTGTGTTTCCATAGACACAGATAATGCTGGGGGTCTGTACACAGAGCTATGCTTGTATTATATACCCTTCATATGTTGAAGGGACTGAAATTCCAATTTTAAAACAAAAGGCAGCATAAGACAAAGTAGTGTTACATTATTTTATGTACAAGCTGATTTTTTTTATTATTATTTTTGGGGTACTTCAAATCGCTTCCTCCTATAAAATCTTGCCTTTTCTCGACAGCTGTCACTCTTGAGAGAGTATGCGGCGCTACAGCCAAGCTTTAAAAATAATGGGGTGCAATCATGCATATTGGGCAATATGGGATATACTTGGCAGTCATTGAAAATAACAGGGACATCAGGATTGGCTAAGCCATCTACAGGTTTGTAAAGCACTCGATGCAGAAGCTGCAAACTCTGGCGAATATTACTAAATATAGAAACGCCTTAGTATATTATCTTTTTTTGTTTGTTTTTATATATATATATACATATGTGTGTGTGTGTGTGTGTGTGTGTGTGTGTGTATATATGTATATATATATATAAAATAGTTGTTGATATAAGTACAAAGGCAATAGTAGTAATCACAGAAGAAGAAAAACACTGGACAAAAACAATGCCCACTTAAAAAAAAGAAGGAATTATTGCGAATTCCAGAGAAATCTGATTGTCTCAAAGCTAGTTGGAAATGAAAAAATGAAAATATGTGTATGGTTGTCATTCTTGCAAGTCAGAATGCCAATTCTACATTACATAGATATAAGAAAATATCATAACCCACTTTCGTAAAAGCAGAAAAACGTACTGAGAGTGTATACAAACTATTGTTGTCAATTGGGAATGCAAATGTCCTTGTGAGAAAGGAATAAGTCCAGTCCATGCGAGGAGGATAGATTGCTATTACAATATTGGATACCAGGGATAAAAAATAAGAGGCAGGAAAAATGAAGGAGGCTATTCTGCCTTGGCATACAGTCAACCACCTCCTGGGGCTGCTCTAAGGTGGCCAGCCGGCCAGATCATGGATCCCCTGACAGGTGGAACACAGAGGTCCCACTTGCAACTGGCACAGTCATTGAACCCAATGGAATTGGTAAAACAGAAGCAATATTTCTGTCTCCCTTCATTCCCCAATGCATTGTGTGCCATGTTTCTGCCTTGTACTCAGCTAGACCATGATGTTAATTTCTAAATCTTGTAAAAGAAAATTAAGAAAAAGATTAACACAAGTTACAGATTTTTTAAAAGTTTTATTCAATAGTATAATTGCCAGAAATGTGATGGACTTTGTGTAAGATCACTGTTTTCAGCAGCATCCTGACTGAATGTGTCACATTACTTGTCAAAATGGCATCCTTAGTTCTCTCCTCCTCCATCTCTGCCCTAGATTTTAATGCAGAGCCTCATTCACCCCAGTCTAGCATAAGATAATAACACATCCCAAAACAATGCCATACAGAACACGACACATTAACAATGCATATGGAATTTGCATGCATGGTTTTTCACAAGACTTTCACAGATGCAAACTACAACCACCTGGATATAGCCTATAAATACCTGCCTCTCCCAAACATAGGAACTCTTGTGGTTCTGCCAGTGAGTTATTTTGACCTTTTTTCCTGTTTTAACCATTCTTATATCTGGTATCCTGACATTGGCTTGTTATTGAACATTTTGTGTCTGCTAGCACATGCAGTAGATATATATATAAATGATAGGCACTCACAGTACTTTTAATTATTAGGTGCAGCCACACAAGTGCCTGTCTCCCCTTGTTATATTAAAGCACAATACAAAAAGAAAACCACATAAAACAATTTAGTGCAAGCCTATTAAAAGAAAAATAAAGGTATGCACACTACACCATGATATTAAGCAAGAAAATAAAACCCATACACAGCATATACTTACCAAAAATGACTTGCACCTTTAAATTATATATACAGCAGAGATTAGTGCAATCATGCAAATATTGTGAGTTTCCCATAGACCACAGTAAAATCACAGAATATATAACTGGTTTAGTCCAGCAGTCATGATTCACGTTACAGGTATCCTCTTCACAGAAACAGTGACTTAGAATTCATTCACATTATGAAACTGCTGTCATTGTGTGCAATTGATGTATCCTTTCCTCATTGATCCAGGGGTCCTCTTTGCTACGAAAGTATATCTAGTGCAGAAACAAAAATGTAAAATTTGTAATTAACGCCCTTCATTAAACAGTTACAGCGTGCACCATGACCACCTCAGTGTTTTCAAGTGGTCATTGTGCAAGGACCTTGTATATGCAGGATTTTAATATGAAACTCTGCACATACCGAGATATTTAGGCAAGCTCCTGGAGGGTAGCTACACCCCTATATTCCTTGCACAGACATTCAATCATTAGTTCAGAGCGCTCAGCTGATGCTTTCAGCCAATGAATGACTGCTGGGAACAGCATCCAGCTTCTGCAGCTATGCATAAAACAGATGCAACCATTTCAGCATTGTATTAGGTCTGGCGCCCTGCGCTACCTAGGTAAGAGGCAGACTTACAAACAGGATTACTCCTTACCGGGGAATGGCTCACATCAATGACACTACAATGGGCTGTAGTGGTTATGAACCCTTTAAGAATGTCTGCTATGGCTGCACCAAGTATATTTCATGCATTGCAATCTCTTCTACTTGTTGAATTCAATTTAATGCAATAAATGATTAGTAGCCCAAAACTCGACATTTAATATAGTTACCTTTAAAACTTTACTAAATGCTGAGGAAACGCATCAGTAAATTTTATACTGTCCCTTTTTTGTACCCTGAGCTCTGCCATTTGAGTGATCCTCGGTTTTGGGCAGCACTTACCAAAGATCACTCAATTTTGCCAAACTCCTCCATTACATTGCAGTGACAAAAGCCATTACCCGATGGATTGTTAGCTACGTAGAATGCACTGCTAGTCAAAGCAGAGTGATCTTCAGTCAGGCAAGTACTGCTGCGGACCCAGGAGCACTGAAATGGCAGCGCCTAGGGAGGAAAAGTTTAAGTTTATTTATTTTTCTGGGTGCTCTCACTATTGTTTTTCCTGTTTGTTGTTATTTGTCTGGTGGTTGTTGTGGCACCATTATTTTCCTATTGTGGGAATTTTTCACTGCTGTTTTTTCTATGTCTTGCTAATTGCCTATAATTTCCACCTGTTGTCTATCCCATTTGCACAACAGCATGTGAAATCGATTGTCACTCAGTGTTGCTTCCTAAGTGGACAGTTTGATTTCACAGAAGTGTGATTGACTTGGAGTTACATTGTGTTTTTTAAGTGTTCCCTTTATTTTTTTGAGAAGTGTACTTTTTACTCCATTCTGGAGTAGTCCAACACTGTAGTGTTAGGAATATATAGTTACAGTTACATAGCTGAAAAAAGACTTGCGTCCATCAAGTTCAGCCTTCCTCACATTTGTTTTTTGCTGTTTTGAAGTACTTCCAATTTTGCAACAAGCTAGGAAAAAAATTCCTTCTTGACCCCAGAATGGCAGTCAGATTAATCCTTGGATCAAGCAGTTATTACCCTACATTGAAAGATTATATCCTTGAATATTCTATTTTTGCAAGTATGCATCTAGTAGCTGTTTGAACATCAGTATGGACTCTGATAAAACCACTTCTTCAGGCAGAGTATTCCACATCCTTATTGTTCTTACAGTAAAAAAACCTTTCCTTTGCCTTAGACGAAATCTTCTTTCTTCCAGTCTAAACGCATGGCCTCGTGTCCTATGTAAAGTCCGGTTTGTGAATAGATTTCCACACAATGGTTTGTATGGCCCCGAATATATTTGTATAATGTTATCATATCCCCTCTCAGGCGACATTTTTCTAAACTAAATGGGTTTAAATTTGTTAACCTTTCTTCATATTTGTATTCCCAACACTATATTGTTCCTTTAACTGCAAGTTGAGTCTTCAGGGTGGAGAGGTAGATAAGTAGATTTTAATTATTATTATTATTATTATTATGAAGGCATTAGAAGATCTTTTTTTTTAAAAGCTGTTGTTGGACTTGGTCCTAAGAGAGCAACATTCAAACTTTTCCCAGGGTGATTGTGTCACTTTTTTGTCCCAGAAACACTATTAACATAATCCTCTCAGTTCTTGTAACATGAAGCCAGGCGACAGAATTGAATAAACCTTGACCTAGAGATGAATCAAGATACTAATCCGCATAATAAAAGAACATAGACAGCTTCAGATATAGGTAATAACATATAGTTTATAAATCCTTTCTTGACATACCAAGTTTTGAAACCCAAGGTGAATGCCAGGACTTCAAAATACTAAGACAGGCTTTACCAATTCTCTTTGGAAATCTGATAATAGTTGGCAAATATGAATTTATATTATTCTAGATGTTTGCCAGTTTTTAACGATATTAGTCCTCCTTCACCGCTGAATATTAATATTGTAAAACTAAATGTAGTGTTAGGAGCTTCATCCATCACGTTTGAATCCCTAAATCCTGCAAACAAAGCAAATCTTAATTTAATACTAGACAATATAATGGTGGATGCCCAAAATATCTTGCAAGCTACTTTGGGTCAAAAGATCAAGAAATCTTAGCTAGAGAAGTTGCGACAAGGCTTTCAGACTGGAGATCTTCTCCGTCAGTTGCAATATGCTGCTAGGCTCATGATGGCCAAGTTTGACGAGAAGGATTTTGACACCTCAGAGGATATCTCTAAGGGGCTGGAGGAAGAAGCTACTCTGAATCGACCAACTGTTCTCAACCCCCAAGACAGGCTGACTCGGCTCCAGTAATGTTGGTGGTCTTAAAAGAGCTTCTGGCAGATCTTCAAATAAATACCCTGTCAGATCTCCTGGGCTTAATGACTAGAATGGGTTCTCAGGAGGGAAAGTCCACTGGCAAATACCCAGAATTTGTCCTTGATTGAACAAACACTATGTGAAATACCACAACATAGTGTATCTGTGTATAACAAATTATGGTAATATATTTTCCAATAGGCCACTCACACTGCCCCGCTACAATTAGTAATGAATGCTGCATCCAGGCTGATCTTTCTCACTCGTCATTCCTCCCATACCTCGCCCCTCTGTCGATCCTTACACTGGTTGCCTGTATCCTCCTATAAGTGTCAATTCAAAATACCAACCCTTACCTATAAAGTATAACCAACTCTTGCCCCTGTTACATTTCTTCCCTAATTCATAGATATGCCTTCTCCTGTCCGCTGCTCGCACCCTCACTGCTAACTCGCGCTTGCAGGACTTCTCACGGACGGCTCTCCCCTAGTCTTCAATTTTTTAAGAAGTCCCTCAAAACACATCTGTTCAGAAATGCTTATGGACTCCCAGAGTAACTTATCTATACTTATACATATCTGTCTCTTGCTCTCCTAGAGAGCCACACTCCACTATCACCTCCAGCTCTGCTACTTTTCCACCTTGTTTGGTGGCTGTCACCCTTGCTTCCCTGTTGTGTATTTGTACCCCACATCCTCTAGACTGTAAGCTCATTTGAGCAGGGTCCTCATTTACCTATTGTTCCCGTGTCACTGTGTAAATGTCTCATTTATTGTAAATTCACCCCCACCCCCCTTCATAATATTGTAAAGCACTGAGGAATTAGTTAGCACTATATAAATACCAATAATAACAACAACAGTATTTTGATGTTTTAACATTCTTTCTTTTAGTTTTCTGCAAGTTATTCCCACGTATTGTTTCCCGCAGGGACATCGTAACAAATAAATAACATGTTATGTATTCAGTTTATATTGGATTTTATTTAAAATTTGCCTGAAGTTATTATTTTTAAATTATTTTACTCTTTGGGTTCGGGTTTTGCGTGCTTTGCACATGTTACAAGAATTAAAACCTTTATTCTAAAATTGATTGCAGCGTTTTTTATGTTTTTTGTTTTTTTTAATCTTTTAATGCATAACTTGGGGCTAATATATATTTTACATTTTTTGCATTTTTATAGATCCTTTTGGGGGATTACTTTACCCTATATGGGGTTTATAGATAACATTTCCAGTGTCTGTTTAACCCCTTAAAACCAGAGGACGTACAATTACGCCCTCTAATAGGCGGCTCTAAACGCCGCCGGGCGTAATTGTACGCCCTCCGGTTTTTGTTAACTTACCCGGTCGCCGGCGGTCCCACGCCGGCTATCGCGGTTGGGGGGACTCCCAGGGAGCCCCCCGCGGCACGTCCGTCCTCGTCGAAGCCCCCCGGCCATGTGAGAGTGGGGTCCTAGCGAGGACCCCACAATCACATGGCCGGGGATAGCTGGCTTCTGTATTGCCGGCAGGGGGGCTGCCTGTAATGACAGGTGGTCCCTCTGCTGGCTGAAAATAAAATAAAAATAAGTTAATGGTGTAAAAAAAAATAATTATATATACTTAGATCATATATATATATTATATATATATGATCTAAGTATATATATACACATATACATACGCACACATACACCGTCTAGGTGTATTTTACTATTAATATATATATATAATTATATATATATATATTAATATCAAATTACACGTAGACTGATACTGATTAAATATATATATAATTATTGTTATATATATATTTATATATAATATAAAAAAAATTAAAATGTAAATACGTTAAAAAATAAAATTAAAAAATAATTAAAAATAAATAATTAAAAAATATATATACCTATATATAAATAAAAATATTTTAAAAAAATTATATAGATATATACCTATATATACACATACGTATATATATACATATATTAATTCTACATATATATTTATGTAATATTTTTACATAATTAGGTATCTTAATTAATTACAATTAGCAGGACCTGCCTGACAACCCATGCCGAAAGTAAAGGGAATTTAATTTGCTAGCACTATATTTAACCCTATAACTTTCCAAGACACCATAAAACCTGTACATGGGGGTACTGTTCTACTCGGGAGAC